TATATTTTCTGTTTGACCTTGATATACGTAATTATCTATCAAAATTTATATCTTATCCGTATTATTCATGTACACAACGACATTATCCAACTATCTATTCTTAAGTAATAGAATCATAAGAACAAGCCAAAAGACTTACCGCCATCTTTATACCGTTAGCAACTCCAGTTTTGACTTCCGAAACTACTTTAAAGAAAGGCAACTCTAAAAGGTTGAGTTTCAAAAATATCGAATGTACAAAATTATTCCATAATAATAATTCCAAAGGTACATTGCAACCTTTAGGAGCGGGAGAATTGTAGATTTGGTGTTTGCAATAAATACGACTGATCCTTATAGCTTAAATATAGTATGTCTGTGTATACTATATGTTTTTACTGCAGAACGGAGGATTGACTTCTAGTACAATACTGTATGTATAAAAACCTTATGGGGGTGGGTAATCACTTAACTTCATGTGATCGGCTTGCTCGTTTGCTCCATTCTATATTAAAATTTAACACTAAGATAGCAGCAGACGTAAATGGCGTCGTAGACGAAACTGTTTTACAACGGCTATTTTCGCGGAATTTTTCAGTTAGGGAATTTGTGTATAAATAATTTTTCATCACAGGATAATTTTATTCCGCCTGTTCATTTAAATTAGGTGCTTAAGGAAAAAACAAGCAATTCAGTTCACCGGTCACACCCTTCGTTTAATTCAACACGTGCCACCACTCAGCTCTCATGTTGGACGATGTGTTTTAGTCAATGGGGCAATCTCAATAATTATACTTAAAATCACAATGGAATCTAATTGGTCAGGTTAAGCAGGTGTTAACTTTCTATAGTATACTGCGTGTGATAGTTAAAAATTATCTACGCGGAGCACATAATTTACCGTGGTAGGGCCACGCCACGTCCTTCAGTGTTGCACGAATGGACAGGTCTGTTCGGGAAAGTACCCCGTGACGTCACACGAGATTGGCGTGAAGTGGAAGTGTTATACTTCTGCGTTTCGTTTGGTGGGTGAGGTAGTCGGGGCCCGATTTATTAAGACATAGCAATGTCCATGGGCGGCGGTTATCACTTAGCAATAGGTGGACCACCAGCTCGCTTGCCACATTCTCACATAAAAAAAAACTTGACCTTTCGCGCAGATCCACGTGTTCAATGTGTTCCACGTAAATTCTTATGTTATGACGCACGTGTGGCGAATTATGTTTCAGAAAGTCCGCTTTTAATGTATCTGTGACTTTTGATATTGTTATGAGTAAAGATATCGTTTACAAGTTCTCCTTGTTAATTAGAATAGTGAATTATTGGATAGACCGAACGAGTTAACAGTAGCCGAAGCAGTTTCGAATTTTGAATAAGTACTACATTATACAATCCGCATAAACGTTTTCTCGTGTTGCGAACAAACAAATGGCAATCGAATAGCTATCCGACGGAACCATCTGTTCCTACAACGGTAATGGCTTGCGAACAAGTGAATTCGTTAAAATAAATCATCGTTTCGTATAACGGAATTCTTGCGTCGCGTTCACAACGTCGTTTCGTCTTTTTTCTTTAAATTCCTGATCGCATTTATAAAAACAAACAAATGTTTCGCGTAACAATGGATAACGTTAGAATAAAAACGCGAGAAATAACAATGGTATCGAGACTTATATGCAACGTTCGGTTTGCTTTACAAGTCTACCTATACTATTTTTTTAAATAAGTCCACGCAGCCCCTCCCTTGTAGAGTTAGCTAGGAACACATACGTTTAATTGAAAAGGAAGGTATTAAAACAGTTTAAAAAATTTAAACGAAGTCGTTGGATGCTTTGGAGGTTATTGCGAGCGTGTTTCTTTGGACATTTATAAAAAAGAATGTAGCCAAGTAGAACACTATTGTTAATATGTGACAGAGTTGTTGGCTCTGCTAATAGTCCTTGTAAGAATTGTCTGATCAAAAGATTTGAAAATAAATATATCTAAGCAATGGTCTCATAATTATATCGACATGCGTGCTTAAGCACTGGTACTGACCCGTATATAATAGTTTTCTTATTATTATTATTAACTGTAATAAAAAAAAACTATAACTGAAAGAACAGCATCTATTGATACTGTTATATGTAGAAAGTAAAGTAACAGTACACACGTTTTTGTATCGAATATGAATATGCCGAATGCAAATCGAGCTAGAGTTTTGACGTTCCAGTTTTTGAACGCGAAGCGTGTGTATCGGACCTGGAGATTTTTTTTTTGTTCGTGTATGGAAAATATGTGTTTAACGATGATTCATAACATTGCCGTTCACCCGCGCGTCTTCTACGGATCAATTAGTTTGCTTTCAATACAAGTGCGCGCACATTTTGCGAGAGAGAGAGACGGGTGGCGTGTACGTTGAAACTAGTGATTTGGACAAAATGCGAAGGGAAACACCGCGCAGACTCCAAATCATCGGACTGGGGTGGGACAGGACGTGGAAAGTTTCGCCAAAAAGTGTACGTCACGTCACCCTTTAATTTCCTTAGCCCTGACATCGTATGAAAGTTATTTGATATCAGTGCCAATCTCTGCACTTACGATGAATCATTAAAATTTGTATAAAGAGGCCAAAAAGTTTCTCGCCATTGTGAGGGCCGTTTAGATTAGTGGTTAAATCGTTTGCACGCGAAACCGGTAGACGTGGGCTCGATTCCCACAGCGGCGACAAACTTATCGTCATTTTTTCTTCAAATTTTAATATTGTAAAATACTTACATACAAAATATTTTATCTAAACGTTAAAGTTTGACCGGTTCATTCGTTTCACCTACGATCTGAGGGGTAGATGCATCTGCTACACTCCTATTTATCAAGGGCAGATGTCCTGAACATCTGTTCACGGCAATCTCTCCCCTATCACGTGGTGTGACCGTTAATAACCTATAAGTATGAACAGCAACGAGTTATAATGTATTAAAATCATCGGGAAGTCGATGGATGCAGGCGGCACAGGATCGTGCTTGGTTGCAGTCTGTCGGGGATGCCAAAGACCAACGGTGGATTGAAACAGGCTGAAATGATGACGATTCAAATCGTGATCGAAGCGTTCTTTTTGCGCAAAGTCGTGGCACTAACAAGGCTCGATTTTGTGCCACGGCGTGAACGAAATAGTTAAAATTTGCCATCTAATAAAATTACACAGACAAACAATACATGTCTTGGTTTTGTTATATGATTTTAATGGAACTTAAGAACAAATCCTTTCCTTGCTCTGGTCACCTCGAACAGTTTACAACGGCGGAGGTTTCAAATAAAACACAGCCATATCATGGACACAGTAGTAATTAGTTTTTCAACAATTGACGAAGGGGTACTATTACTCGAACGCAGATAAATAATAAATAAATATTTTAGGACACATTTCAACACCTTTGTATATTGTCTTGAAGTCATACTGTAAAAATAGGCTATTCCAGGGTTTTCAGTAGAGGTAACTTATTGTATACCGCTCCGTCACTGAAATTAAACAGAATCAAATCTTATTATACAAGGCGATGAAATTAAAAAAAAAACTAATATACAATTATTGATTTTAATCCCTTTGATTTACCTAGAACATAACGTTAAGAAACGTTCGATATCTTGTTATCTCAAGTAATTGCTATTATAACTCACACAAAATTTACTTCACTATTGAATTTTTATTTTTGTATCCAATTATACAAGGCAATCTGCTATACAAACTGGACACAAGATAACTATATTTATACACTTTGTATCCAATGTTGATGAGATATGGCAGCCCTGTACTATTGTACAAACGGTACAACTAAACTGTTATCCACTACGTCTCATTTGGCTCTTTCGCACCTATTTATTTTTCCATTTGTCGGTCGACTGGCAGAGAACACCTAATGGTGTTAAGTCCGCCATTGTACGCTATTGTGCAAAAAGTATTTAAATAAACTAGCGAACCGCCCCGTCTTCGCAATGTATTATACATATGAACCATCCTCTTCGATCAAAGTCAAGTCAAATATCTTTATTCAATATAGAATCATACCCTTACTTATTGATAGTCAAAAACTTTACCACCGGTTCGGAAGGAAAGCCACTGACCTGAGAAGAACCGGCGTAAGAAACTCAGCGGGACATTTTTTTTTACTTGTCAAAAATTACTAATATGTGTACAATTTATTAAATTGCACTTGAAAGAGCCTGGAGCGATCAATTCATTTCCAGAGTGTGTTATCATTCAAATAAACACTAATACTATAATAGCCAAACTATCTTAAATCACTCTATCTAGTAAAAAAAATGCTTCAAGATCCGTTGCGTAGTTTTAAAGATCTAAGCATATATAGGGATAGACGGACAGCGGGACGACTTTGTTTTATACTATGTAGTGATAAATAAATAAACTGCATGGGCAAAATAATCTAACAAACTACCTCAGACCATAAAAGATCAACCGTCTAATAATTTTAAAAAATGCCTAAGGGAGTGGCTTCTAAAACACATTTTACTCGGTTGAGGAATTTCTAGATCATAAATAAAATAAGTATAGACATGTTAAAGTACATATTATAAAATCTTGTATTAATTTAATTTATAATAATTGTATTTTTTTATATCATATATAACACTATTTATTAAATAGTAGATGACGAATATTCGCATGCCATATATTATGGCTTAACTTGGAGGTCAATAATTTTCTAAATTAACTTCTTAATCACCCAGTTTCATTATATCGAACGTTTGTGTGTTAAAGGCTACTATAATATTAATGATTATTTAAATGAGAACACACTCTGGTAATGAACTGATCGCTCCAGGCTTTTTCAATGAGAGTCCTTATATTATATTTTTAATGAATTCCTGTCAAACTCCCAATTAAAAAAAAAAAAAAGCCTAAAAAGGTAGTGTTTTGACTATCAAGAAGCGAGTGTAATGCTCCCATGTTGAATAAAGACATTTGATTTTGATTTTATCAAGATTATTATTATTATTACGAAACAAACGCCCCCACCCCGCAGGACGATCGACCCGAAGCCCTGCAACCCGCGCACCCTGCAGAAGCCCAAGCGAGGGGGCGGCTACCCCAAGGTGTTCCTCGGCGGCCTGCCCTCCAACATCACCGAGACCGACCTTAGAATGTTCTTCGGCCGCTACGGCAAGGTCATGGAGGTCGTGATCATGTACGACCAGGAGAAGAAGAAATCCCGAGGTACGCGCCGCCATTGTCCAGTTATCGCTTGTAGTGTCAACTCTAGAGTCTAGAAATTTCACTATCGATAGTGTTTCGTTAAGGCGTACATTCTCATCGGTCTATTGTATATTTGAATATTAAAAAAAAAACACAGCATGTCCTCGCCGGAGATGAGTACAGTTGATAAACATATCTCCGAATTTTTCAATCGCTTAGTTTGTTTCAAATTGACTAATAATTTTTATCGTTTATTAATCATTAACCATTGTCATTTATTTTGCTTAATCTCCCCGGTAGAGCCCCGCCCTTTTTTTTTTTTTTTGAGAACTTTCACTTTTTCGAATTCTTTATTTCATTTGATCAAACTGTACGATGGATTTAGGATTAAAATTATTATAAGGCACAGAATTGTAACCAAGTCGAGCCTAGCTTTTACAAGAACTTAAACAAATATTCGCCCTCCAGCTTTCGCTAGGCTTATGAAATACTTATATTGGTCTGTGCTAGATTATAAAAAAATTGTTCGTCATTAAAATCACCTTTGCACGGGGTGCCAGAGTCTATTTCGAAGGAAATTTACAATGATTTTTAAGCATTAGTTTGAAGACCAGTTTGATTAAACGGATTCTCTCTTTTGTCACCTAGTTGTACGAAGTCTAGGTACGTAACAAAAGTTTTGTACGCGTATGTTGTATGTACGTGTACGTCGTAGTTATAAAATATCATGTTATAGTATACAAATTGAGTTGTTGCGATATTGCATTTGTGAATGAATATCTCTGCCTACACCAATCCAAATGAGTAGGAAAATGATAAATGTTCAGTATTTAATGGAATGGAGATAAATTGCTTCATTACACGTGTATCGATCGTTAACACTACTTTGTATTGAACGAGCAATGTATGTCTTGCTTTCCTTTGTCGATCTCTTCCAGTCTAGTAGAACATAACCTCTTGTAACCTGTCCTGTGGCTTAGGAAACCCACCCTTACCTTATCCATTGTACTTGTTAGAGTAAGCCATTTGTAACTTGAAGCATGCAGCCGCCGGCTTTGCGTTGTTTAAATGTTTCGCGAGGGTAGCCTTCTACCGTTGGCTTTGTATTCGATGTGTATTTATTGTTTGATATTGTTATATTCTCGTAAGAATGTCCCCTGATACATGACACATATATACAACGTCCAAATTTGAATTCGTGCCCGAGAAATATACGACAAAACACTTTATTCTTGATTCAGTCTTCCATTTGCTTACGTCTGTATGTTTGTCATTATAGGCTTCGGTTTCCTATCGTTTGAAGACGAGGTGTCAGTGGAGAGAGTGACCCAGGAACACTTCATCAATCTCAACGGCAAACAGGTGATTATTAAACGCTATCCAATTTTCATCGGAAACACCAAAATTGCACTACTCCAATCTATTTCCTGCCTTGCTTGCTATACATAATTATGTTCAGACATATCGTCCAGTTTAAATAAGGATTCTATATTTATTTAACGACTGCAATATTCAACTTTTAAGCAAGTGTTCAGCGTATATTCGACAGATAGATAACATTTAACTAAACTATTGACCCAACTAAACACTAGTAGTATACAATCTATTAAACTGGAATACACTCTTCAAACGGCATACATATTTGAATCTCAATCAGTCATGTATTTGGTGCATACAAACCAATGTGTAAACAGCACACACCACATATTATGCGGCATTAATTATTTACGTTTACGCGTACACCACCACAATTGAATGGATTTTATCGCGTTTTATTGAAATTTCTATTCCCGATTTTCGAATACTTTGCGGCAGTTGTTGTTCGAAGAGTATAAAAGCAAATTAAATTGGCTTGCAAAAACTTTGATAAAAGCTCAAATGTTATATTACTGTAGAATAGGTTTTAATAAATTCATGGTTTATCAGAATCTATAAAACTGCGAATAAATAAAGGACTGCGATAAAATAAAATATAGATTTTGTGTTATGAATTCATTTACGACTTCCACATCCAGGCAGTGCCCTCAACTCTATCTGTTGTTGGTACGTTCAGATGTTTGTGGGAAAGCATTGCATGCCAGCATATACTCATTGTTCCTGTGAACCAGTGAGTCTACAGAGTTTGCAACAAAACTGTTTATAACATTTATGCAATCATTTAACATCCTAGTCAAACCTTTAACCGAGTTATATGTACTTTCAATTTAAAGGAACTGTTTTGTTTCGTTTGTACATTATATTGTTCGAATTCAGCCATTTATACTTGTATCGGTAACATGATCATTCTTTTGGTAAAACGAAATTGTACTTATTCCTAATTTATTCATGAAATGTCTTAAATTGTATCTATATTATTTGTTATTGACATTTTAAAGAGTGTTATTATTGATAAACCTTAAACCCGGAACTGAATTATATTATTGACATTATCTACACGCATGACACGTGGAATATAAGACACTAGTGATGTCGCTTCCTGACTGACTGTCTCTCTTGTAGAAAGCAGAATACTATTCATATTTTATGTCAGCAGCCCGTCACTTTGGCGACTGAATTTTGCACAAAAGAAATCTTTTTAAGGTCGTATAATAAATATATTATAGTTGACAAAGAGGCATCCGTCACCGATCGCGACTCGTCGACCAGAGCTAAATGAGCCGTGTGCCACAGGTGGAGATCAAGCGCGCGGAGCCGCGCGACGGGTCCGGCAAGCTGGGCTCCGGCTCCGGCGGCATGGGCGGCGGCGGGATGGGGGGCGCGCCCGGGGACGCGCCCGCCGCCGGCCAGTGGGGGCCCCCGCAGGCGGCGCCCATCAACATGATGCAGGGGCACAACGGGCAGATGGGCGGGCCGCCGATGAACATGCCCATGGCGGGGCCCAACATCATCACGGGCTACCAGGGCTGGGGCACGTCGCCCGGGCAGACGTCGTACGCGGGCTACGGCGCGGCGGGCGGCGGCGCCGGCCCCGCCCCCGGCAACTACCAGGGCTGGGGCGCCCCGCCCGCCCCCCAGGCGCCGCCCCACGCGCCCGCCTGGCCCGCCACCAACAACTACACACAGCACGCGCAGCCGCCCGCCCAGGGCTACGGCAGCTACGGTAATTGCACTACGCGCTACTTGTGCAACCGGTAACCGACGTCGTCCACATCCAGGCAGTGCCCGCGACCGCATCAGTTGTCGGCACGTTCAGATGTTTGTGGGAAAGCAGCGCGGGCCAGCATATACCCTGTGTTCCTGTGAACAGATGGGTCTACAATGCTTGCGACAAACGCTATCGTTGCATCTTCAAAATTTCCTTGTTTCTTATTTTGTAATTTTGTTTATTTTACTTCAAAATTATTGTTTATTTTCTATAAATATAAATTATATATTATAAATTCGCCCACTGCAAAGTACAAGTCGAGTCATGTCAGAAAACTTCAGGAAATAGATACCGTTTCACGGACATGCCGAGTAGACTATTCACTATATGGTCGACTATTCGGGCCGAATCTCATTTCCCAGCAGTGGAACGTCAAACACATAAATGAACAATTGTACACTCTAATGTGTGCTATTTCCGAAACGCATACGCGCCATTCGTCGTCCGCCCCGGCCGTAGCGCGCCGCTGACGCAGTGTTGTTGTTGTGCAGCGAACTACAGCTCGGCGCCGGCGGGCGCGTCGGCCGGCGGCAGCTGGACCACGTGGAACATGCCGCAGAACTCCAACTCGACCGGCTCCGGTGAGTCGCGCCCAGCACACGCTTCCATCACGCCCGACTCGATCGAACGCCTCGACCCGACTGACCCCCGCCGCGCCCACTAACACCGCAAACGACCCCCCCCCCCCCCCCGCCCCGCTCACTTTGCCCGCCCCCCCACTAGAGCCCTTCACTCCTCGACTCTAATACCCCCCCGACGAATGCTCGTCTCTCTCCGCCGTCAGGCATTGGGCGGACCCCCTCCCCCACTCCCCGCGCAGTCCAAACTGCCGCCGTCTTCTCCTCGGCCCGAATACTCACGCGGCCTCCACCGTGGCTTGGCTTCAACGCCGCTTACAAAAACATCTCCCCCAACCCACACTGTTCCGATGCGGTCATAACTCATATTAGTCTTCCGACGTCATCCAGACGCTCAGTTCTCGAGATACCTTCGACGGCATTCCAACCGCTCTGGCGAGTCAGTAGCTTAAACAAATCTGGCATTTGCATAGCTTGGTCTTTAAAAGGACGAGAATAGCATATGCAAGACAGAATGCTTGTAGCGCTGTCGATAGAATGTACGGGCGATATAAATGTGATGGAAGTGTGTCAGGGTCGACCGAAATGGAGTTTCTGCCCACCCTTCCGGGTTGTTGGCATGATTGTTTTAGTTCTTTCCACAAGATCTAATTTTGTTGATGCTCATAAAATTTTGCTTCAGAAATAGACATAATGTGGGAAGAATATTGGTGACAAGGAAAAATATTGTATTTTTCTCTTGTAACGATTGTAGATTTAGTTTTATATAGATTCTTATTAATCCACATCTAGGATTTATCTCTGTGTCCTCTATATTTTTTCAATTATTCCAGATGCATGTAGTTCTTGGCTTGTAAATGCTCTTATCTTATTATGTTTGTTTAAATTTTCTTCATCACTTATTTTTGTAATTCTAGTCCTCGCAACTTTTAAGTTTTTCCTTTTGCGTTGCTTTTGTTGCCGGCAGATGAGAACGTGACCGCAAGCATCTAACACAGTTCACCATTTACTTATCATACATTTAAAAAAAAAACCATTCATTTATATTCATTTTTGTAGCTTATACTTTTTTGTTTAAATCAAGTTATAACTTCATCCATAATTTTGGATTTATTTATCGAATAAATTACTTTTACAGTAGTTTTGCAAATAGAGATCATAAGGTCTTGGAAAATTGATTTATGTATATATATATATATATATATATATATATATATATATATTTATGTATATTTATGTATATTTATGTTAAGTATACCGCGCCTGGTGCTTTAAATTCAAGCTAGGCATTCCCAGCTCAACCCATTTAATACCTTGGCTAAATTGCCCGCGTGACCTCATCACCATTCCGTTGAATTCTTTCAATTTACATTGTCGCTGAAAACGGGGCAAATAATCCTTACGATGTTATGGCCTGTGATATTTAAAAAAAAAATCTCTTCATAGGGGTAATTATACGAAATTGATTATGTCGAGATGTCACTCCATTCGAATTCTGGTAGGTCTCCTAGAATGGTAGGCGTGGGGCAGAAAGTTTGGGCGGACTGGTGGTTTATTGTCAAATTTTGCAGCGAGCAGGAGAACCCCAGTCGTCGGGCCCACTTTAAAAAGGTTGTCTATAGGCGGCGGTAATCATTTAATATCAGGAGAACCGCCTGCTCCCTTGACAACTTTCGAAGAATACAAATTGTGTGTCTGTGTGTACGCACGTACGCATGTAATTAGAAGTAATACTACTTTAGCGTAAAAAACTAAAAATAAGTACAGTAAAAAAAGTGGAACGCGGGATGTTCCAGTTCTGTTTGTTTGTGAAAAAAATACACCAAACGCAACTTATAACTGTTTAATTCACATTTGATTTTATATATTGATATTTTTAGCTGACATATTTGGATCCGATATATCGATACAATATATTCAATATCGAAAATCATATCTAAAACTTTCAAATTTGAATCCGGGCACTTGAGTCCGTTGGTGTTTCCGTTCGACATATCGAGGCCGATATCGATATATCCATATCGAGAGCAGGCCTAGGCACGATGCACGAATGGGCAGGCCCGTCCGGGTAAGTACCACGACCTCACAGAAGACCGGCGTAAAGTGGAAGTACAATCAAATACTTTCGCGTATCGTCTGGTGAGTGAGGTAGTCGGAGCCCAATTTTCAAAAGGTTGTCAACGCATCTGGAACCCTCGGGTATAGCAGAAGTCTATGGGCGGCGGTATTCACTTAATATCAGGAACCGTCCGCCCGCTTGGCAACTTCACCAAAAAAAAAAAATACAATAGTTCGTAGAGTCCTTCCATTCACCCTCGCTCTTTCTTTCTATTCCCCCTGCCCAGGAGTGTTGAACGATTAACGCAACAGTGCTTTTCCCCCCACCACGGTTGCGTTGAACGTTTAACGCGACCTCGTTGCGAGTCGCATCGGGGTGTTTCGCTTCGAAAAAAAAGAAAAAAGTAAAACTCCGCTGATTGTACGGTGTCGCGCGCAGGCTCGTACGTGCCGCTGTCGGAGAGCGGCGAGATGTACGGGCGCGGCGCGGGCGGGGCGGGCGGCGCCGCGGCGCCCGCCCTCACCGGCGCGCTCTCGTCGGGCGCGCTCAACAAGTCGTCGTCGGAGTACTCCACGTACCAGCAGTACCCGCCCGCGTACCAGCAGGACCAGGTACGATGACCCGCGCCGCCGCCCCCCCCACCCCCGCCCCCGCTCGTGCGGCGGGAGGCGCGCGCGCGGACTTCGCTGCTGCTCGGCGCCTCCTACACGGAGACGCTCGTGTGCGTGCGCGTCTCGCGCGTCTAGCGTCTCCGCTTGTTGCCGTCTCTCTCTCTCTCTTTCTTTGATTTTTTTTTGTCCCGCTCTAACTCGCGCGTTCTCTCTCTCTCTCTCTCTCTCGTCTCGTCTCGTCTCGGATCGTTGGCAGGATGCAATTGGCGCGCGATTTCGGAACCGTTTCGTTGCGCTTTTATTTTTACGCGTGCTACAAGTCTGCACGTTCCCGAACGGTTTTCTTTTTTATTGTCTTTGATGTGTCTTTGAATATAACAATGGAACGTTGGAAAATGTTTTAAATTACATCCTGCAACGATTGCACGAATGAAACTGAATAGATTTAAACGTACACTGCAAACAATAACATTTTGTTTTTGTATTTTTTTTTTCATTTATTCAATTATTGAACATTATGTATGTATTAAGAAATATAAATTATGGAATAATCGTAATGTCTATTACCTTTTGGAAGCGAAAACTGAATTCAAAATGATATTGTTCTATACTTTACTAACACTACATTATATATACTTATATTAATGACATTATCGGATTTAAACTCTAGAAAAGTAATCAATGTATATTACTCTCGTTAAAATCGTTCTCTTTTGTGAATTAATCTACAATAAAGTCCAAACGGTCAACATTGTATACTTTTCTAGTGAGTTTTATCATTTGGTATATCATAGCGAGTTCAATCATGCCAAGTCATTAGAAGTGGCAAACTCTTTTCGAGTCATATTTTTATTTTGCACCAAGACTTCGATGACTGCATTTGGCAAATATAGCGCTTTCGTTTGGCACCCCATGCAGCACAGCATGCAACGTTCGGTCACACACAGTCCGCCCCATCGCTCACGCGGTGTCTAAACGCCGGTGGGCCGTGTGTCACGCTTTCGACACCCGCTACATCTGCGTACGGCACAACGATGTAGTCTCATAACAATTATCAATATCGATAGTGTATCCATCTGTGCCCTACGTGGATAGTCAACGCTTTAAAAGGCTTTTGCATAAAGACTAATACGCGATACAAGTTACCGAGTACGCAGTTTTGTTGGGGACACGAAATGATTTGATTCTCGTGTCGAGACAACGTCTAATGCAAATTGCCTCGTGCTTTCCTAATCTAAGCAGGCATAGACACAATATGACAATGAAACTAAAATAGTGTGTCTATGCCGAGGCGACGAACAACGCTTTTAAATAATCAATCAGTTCATGACTGTACAGCCTAAAAGTTAATTTTGCTCCGCAGTACTTGTATCGTTTATTATTTCGTCTCAAATTCATTCATTCCCCCACCATTGCATATCGTGTATTTGTAGTTTCGTGTGAAGCTTGATTATTTTCTTTTATTTTCAATTTTAACTTCTTATCGTGAGCACGCTTTATTAATGCAAACACGAGGCAACGCACCGCACTCTTAGATATCGAAAACATCATCGTGTTCCGATAACTCCTCGTAACGTTCGATTTCTTCAGTACTTATGCACAATTATTTTCGACCACCCGTTATTGGAACACGAATCCTTGCGTGTCGGACGCGGTGTGAGGTTTTTTTTTCCACTTAACGATCGAAAATTAGCGCATGCAGTAACGAAATTCTACCAAACCACCCTTCATTCTCTCCCCAACAGTTAAATAGTTGCGTTATCGATTTGGCAAATTACGATCAGTCATTTGACGGGGAATTACCCTAATGTCGACTATATCTTGGATGAGGTATCGGTACCGTCGTCGCTATTGTCAATTTAACTAATATTAACAGTACGTAGCGGTTCGTTTGTCCATTATGCTATTTGACGCGTTGTTTTTTCATGTGTTCAGATTGTCCTCACCCCCATAAATCTATAGAAACCCTTCAAATGTACACGGTTTTCGAGTTTGGATTGTGCTAACAATATAAGGTGAACCATCAAACTCTGAAACGGAGAATAATAACATAATGAATATCTTATCCAAGATATAGGGCGCGTGTATAATTTATGCTCATGGCGATTTAACCGCTTTGAGCGATTGTAACAAATAGAATACGTCACCAAAGTACAGCCAAGTTGATTTAGATTGTATTTCGCTGAAAACCCAGGGGCTTGCCTCCAACCTCGAACCTCCCATCTTCCCGGCCCGCTTCTACTTTGATTTTGGTCATGCTTTATGGTATATGCGATGGACGTCGCGTGAATGGCGAGGTATGTGAAAGGCCCTATCACTATCCCTCTCCCTCTATCCTCAACCTTATTAATTTTGGTTGAAACTGCGACCTTCTTTGTTTTTGGTATGAGACGCACAAACGAGTGACGTATGAGAGAAAAGATGTAGCGGTAGCGTTTTCAATTTGGTTGTACTTACGAGTTTGTTTGCGATTCACGAATGGTCTCCGTTTGCGGCGCACGTCTGTTTGGTCGCGGTGGGCGAGTGAAATTCAGCGAAGTTTTATTGTTTTTATTTTTTATTTTTTTAATTTTCATTTACACCACCTCCCCCTTTGAATGCAAACAAACGACATCGCGGTCGAAACGCAGCATGAATTATATACGATAGAGCCGGTACTAGTTTGCCCCCACCGCGCCCGCCCGGTCTCCTCCCCTCCATATCCCGCTACTGTGTGCTGTTTTGAGATGTACGGAACGCTTTCGATATCGAACACATCGATCGGACCCCCGTCTGCATGTTTTCAGTGGCGAGATCGTGGCGTGCGATGTCTTTTTGATTATGAACAAGAAAGAGCCAGTTACGAACATGATGCGGTTCGCACAGCGAACGAGTAATGTTTCGCCAGTAACATCCCACCCCCCCCAAGTCGAACGCGAGCCGGCTCTCTCGCGAGGCAATAGCTCACCGCACCGCTATCCATAGTGAAAAATCAAAGAAGACTATTAACAAACTTAACTTTCGCTGAAGGTCTCTCATCGCCGTCGCCCCCTCTTACACCTGTACCGATATCCCCTCCCCCTCTCCGCCGCCACCCCCCTCCCCCGAGTCATCATCCCGCCCTTGGGGTTAATTTTACATTGCTTTCGCCCGGTCCATTTTTTTCACGCGCTGCGCTACTTACATAACTGCCTGAGTTAGGTCGTGCAATTGTGGCGAGTGGGACTTTCATGTCTTGTAATTCTTCTTTTCCAGTTGGTCGATCAGGGTCCACAAGAGTGGCTCCTCCAGAAAGACAATTAGAGATAAGGGTACGGGATGAGGGTATGTCGCGAAACTCTGGGGATTTCTCACTATGGACGGTTCGGTTGATGCGACGCTCACGCGGGCTCACCTAAAAGGCATCGCACCGCGCTAGATGTTAAGCTTACATTTAGTTCGATTCAGATTATTCATATTGCATTTTGTTTTGTTTTATTTTTTTTTTATAATTATTTTCCTTTATGTAGCCGTGCGAGATGATCCAATAGCTTTGTTTCATCTCAACACATGTAAATTGGCATTTAAAGTACAAATTAGTAAAATTTGGATTTTTCTCGTATTGTTACAGGTTCATTAAATAGTTAATTTTAAAGATAAATAAAAATTAATATTAAGAGTGCTGTACTTTAAGTGTTCAGAGACGAAATCCATAATACTGTTGAATGTAACGAGAGAGCATATTATTATTATATATTTAACTTTAGAGCAAAACTGTGTTAAAAAAAAAACATCATGGGGCATCGTCGAATGCGGCCTCGGACCTTTTATGACATATTAAATCAGATTGACCTAACAAAAGCTGTGGCCTCATTTCGATCCCTCATGAGGCGCGCGCGGGCGCACCGGAGCCGGCGCCTCGGCCTCTCGCGCTCGCACGCCACCCACCTCCGATGGCGGGGGCCGCGTTGCCGCGTGACGTCACCCTTCACGTACATGCCCCGTAACGCGGCCCCGGCGAGGCTCCGGCCGGGCGCTCGCCGCGCGGCCCCGCACCGTCGCGGGACACCCCCGGCACGCGAGACGCCCGCGTTCCAATTACGAAAGCGTCGCTCGCCGCGAACGTTCCTCATTGAAACGGGCGCCGTGGCCCACTCGGCTCGCGTGCCGGGGCGCGCGGCGCTGCGGGCGCGGTCGTAACGTGTGCGCCCGGGTGGTAGGGCTCGTCGTACGGCGGGTCGCGGGCGTACGGCGGCGAGTACCACGGCGCCGCGGGCGGCGCGCAGCCGCCAGGTGTGCACGCGGTGCCGCACCACGCGCCCAAACACTTCGCCGCGCAGGACTTTAGCAAGGAGTGGCCCGCCGCGTAATCGCCACCCACGCCGCCGCGGCGACCGCTCGCCACCCACGCCACGACTGCCACCGCCGCCGCCGCCGCTGCCACCGCACACCCCTGCCACCCCTGCCACCCGCGACCCCCGATGCACCTCCCCGCCCCGCGACCCGCCCGCCCCGCGACACTTCTCGTGTCGCGGTACATGTCGGTCGTGGCGTGGCGCGCGCCCCTCAACTGATGTGCACACCGGTCGCATAACGTATTTTGAGGGGAAACATCTGCCCTCTGTGCGGTTGTCCCTAGAGTCCATACTGAGTTTACTCGCTGCGGCGTAGCTTCCCTTCTATCGTTTCCGACTCTTATCGAGTTCAGATCGAGTGTACATCGCCTCGTGGATGAAGGTTCAGACATTTGCGACTCGTTAACCGATGGACCATGACGTCATCTTTCAATATTGAAAAGCTCCATTCTTTTAAGCTACGCCAACCAGCTAAGCGAGGCGCTGCGGCGGCGCTTGGTAGTGTAACACGCTATTGGCGTCCGATTGCGACCGTTAAAATCAAATTCTGCATTGCAATCTATTAGTGGCGAGAGCGTGTCGTAACGGTGGTGTTAACCCATCCCCATTGATCGACTCTGGAAATTGAATATTGTCGAGGAGTCGGATCAATAATAACCCCCCCCCCCCCAACACTTCAATACCCCATATATACATACATACACTCCACGATGACTCCAAATAATACAAGACACGACACATTTGTATACACAACACATTTAAACGAGTAGATTTTTTTTAAAAGCTGGGAAGTTTTTATACAATGCAACAAAACAAATTTTGCATGCAATTTTAACAAGCTGGTATATATTTAGAAAGATTTGAATTAAACAAAAATTGAAGAGAGGTCACACCCACGACTGCATTAACACAAACCCACACGCGTTAAATAAGGACTTTGTTTTGTAATGGATAAAACTTAAAATAATGAAAGGAACAATTATTGAAGTTGATATTTTAACGATAAAAAGATAAGTTTTCTACAATAATTACTAAACGCGCGTCAACTGACCCAGTCATAAATTAGGGCCCTAAGCGAAATGATGAAAAAAAAAAAAACGGGGCATACAATCCGAATGTGTTCACGTTATGTTTCTCTCGTGCGCAAAGCAAATCTATTATAGATTTATTAGATATTACACCCCCCCCCCCCCCCCTTTCCCCAAAGTTTTCGCGGCCCAAACCAAAACCCCCTCCCCCCCCTTCTTTGGTCCGAGCGACCGTGTACGTTTGAACGTACGTACTTCTTTTTGTCTTTTTTTTTCTAATACGATATTTTTTTCTCTTGGATATGGGCTCCTTTTAAAGAGTTTAATTATTTATATGTATACATATATATATCTATATATTTTTTTTTCGGTTTACATTAATCGTGAATTTCTTCGCGCCTTTTGGAAGTTGATGATTTCTTTTAATGGTTATTGGGCGATGGGACCCCGGGGCGTCACCGGCCGCGCACATTCGACAGGTACTGTTTAAAAAGGCCAATTTAGGGAGAATGTCCTAAAACAACTTAACTTAAGCTAATAATGACTTGTATAAATATTTGGTATATATATCGGTATGTATGTTTAATATTAGAATTTTGGTTTATTTACCACCCACTAGACTTAGGAAAACTGTAGGGATGTAATGAAATGATTATTGTGTTAATGATATTTAAACGAAACATTTTTTTTTTAATTTCTCAAAGGGGAGCAATTCTGTATAAATAAATATTGGTAATTTTAATTTTCGTCTATGGATTTTAAGTTTTTTTTTTTTTATATCGCAATTTATTAGGTTGATAATTGATTTTTTTTATATAAATGAGAGATAATTGTAATATGAACTCGAACTACCTGCCAAAACGTTACGAGCAAACGACGTAATTGTTAAGTGATGACGCTCAATCATTTAGGATATTATAGATTTCGCGATTCCAGACGCACCCATCGCGCGGACCCTTGTATATATACTTCCTGTGTGTAAAGGCATAATTTTAAACGGCACTCTCGTCACGCGCCTAGCTTTTAAAGAGTATATTATTATTTTTTTCATGTTTCGTTTATAATTTACGCGTATTGCCAAATATTGTTAAAAGGGAATCTGTACAGAGCTTCCGACCACCGATGCGTTCCGGTCGGCTTAGGTATTTTATCTTAAAATAAGGGACGCCGTGGGCAGCGCGCCAACACCGCCCGCATCAAAGTGAGTTATAATTTTAAAGTAACATTGTTAGATTAAATTTAATGTTAGTCCTTTACTGTACTATATCGCTCAATCATTTGACCGATCGACTGATTAAAATTTTAGTGGTTAAGCTAAGTAATTACTAGCGGGCGGCGGGGGCGCGCGTCCCGGGCCAACTCATACATTATTTTGTTGTAATTTATAATTAGAGTTTACGCGAGAAACAATTGACTAGGTACTACGGCACTCGGTAAGGTTCGTTGTAAACGTTTTTTATAAAAATAGCATCGTCGGTTACATTACGGTGACGCTGATCACACTGCAAGTGCATAATTCGTATTGTATGTTAGGGTTATTTAAGATCGCACCATAAGTGATGTATAAGTTTATCTACGTGACGCGTAAGCGAGGCTATCGGGACACGGTCCGGCGCGAGGGGTGCGCCGCAAAGGAGTTTTAATGCTAAATAAAATTAAAGAAAAAAAAAAAAACTATAGTGACGGTGGAACTGGACGCCTTTTCAATTGTGATGTTAATAGATACGCGCATATTGGTACATTTCTTATAGCTCTGTACGACACAAACGACTGAGACGAGGACACTAGTTAGGAAGTTTTGAACCTCGCGGGGTACATTTAAAAAAAAGAAATATATTAACGATATATTATTGAATTAATGTTAATGATCGATTAATTAATCTACTTCGGTGCCTAACTGCCCACTAGGTTACGTATAGTTATGTCCGTCGAGTCCCCGCTGTGTTTACTTCTATCTGTTTTTTTTCCTCTTCTATAACGTAACTATATTAATTTGCAGTTCGTTCCTACTTTAGTTAGTTTTAATACGTTTCGATTCATTCCTCCGCGCGGTGCGGTACGGTGCGCACGCGTCTCCGAACGCGCACCCAAAATAATTTCCATCCATCTTCTCGGTTATAACTCTCGCCGTAGGCTTAACGTGCAACCACCGGTTTCGCGACACGTTTAGTGCCCGTTACCATTGATTTTTCAGACTTTTTGGATAATTGTTCGCTGGTGTGACTTTGTGTTATTTTCAGTGATAATCGTATTAGCGCTAAGGCGGTTTAGATACGGGCCCCCCGCAACCCAAAAACTCACAAACCTACGGAACAATATAAGAACTTAGTTTGTAATTAACCAACGTGGCAATCTTCTAAGTAAACGATAAAGAGTATAATTTATTTAAATGATAAAACTATGGATATGTATTTAGAAATTTTAGATTTACTCGAACATTTAAACTTAGTGCAAATTATGGTGAGGAAGAAGAAAAAAAAATCAATTGAGACTATTTATATGGGTTTTTAATTATTATTATTATTATTATATATAGGTGAAGAGCATTAAAATATTGGATGAATTTATTAATTAAAAAATAGTTAGCGAAATACAAATACTGTAAGACTCGTTTAGAGGCTCCCCTGTCGAATGTGACGCGGTCGGATGATCCTAGACCGTTGCCCGTGAGGTCCAGCGCCCAATGCCCCCAAATCTCCCCCACCCAGAAACAAACACAGACCCTTGGAATTTGTACAAACCGTGAGTGACACTTGCATCCTCTGCATTTCTAATATTACACCCCGAGTAATATTCGGACATGAGATATACACTGTATCTTAATAATAATGTTTATTGAATAATATTTTTAATCATTGCTTAAAAGTAGTAATGTTGTGTAGTTTAACTTTCGACTCTTGTTTGTATTACATTATATAGTGTACGCGGTTTTTTATATGTGTACGTTTATCCAGTAGCGACGTGTTTTTTGTGTAAAAGTGTATTTTTGGTATTTGATATGTCACACGAACGGTATCCTGCGTATACCGGCCGTGCGTATTATACATTAAAATATACTTATAATCGTAATTGACTAATTATATTATACAAGAACCCTAGTGTTAACTTTAGGTTAGCAAGAACTCGTTTTATTTTAAGTTCACCACTACTCGTCTAAAAGGAATTTGCATTTAATTGCACGATGGCAGCCCAGCGGTCGATTGTTAACTGTAGTCGAATCTAAAGTTAATTTTTAAAACAATGCAGGTATTATTAATATAAATCCTCATATTTATACTAGACTATAAAATATAAATGTAATTATTGAACACACACTTATCGTAAAAAAAAAATTGCACGGGCTTTACGATTAATTATAACATTATACATAGGGGCAAGTTGTTATTTATTTCTGTTTTAATTAAAAAAAAATTGATGTTGATTAATTTTAAACTATATTTTTTTTTTCATTATAGTGGATTAAAGTACATAATTCTCGATCGATTAGATTACAAAATTTTATTAGGTGAACTATCGACTGATGTACAATATTTAACGTAATGGTTATTTACGGCAGTATATAAGTTTTACTTTACGCCCGTTAGGGGGGCAATATATTTATATAACAGACTTGTATTAATTTCCTAAAATGTAATTAATTGGAAGCGGCGACCGCGACCGAGCCACAAACTAAGTATATTACGATTGTAAGACTATTATCTAGATTTGTTGTAATCTTGTAATGTGTAACTACTATACTTAGCCCTAACGAGAGTGCAGCGCGGGGTGTGCCCACCGCCGCGCCGGCTGCCTCCGGCCGACGGGCCCCCGCCGACCGCTGACGGTCCACTGACAACTGCTGACGGGCTACCGACTACTGCTGACGGTCTATCGACAACCGCTGACGGTCCGCCGTTGCCCGTCAGCGGTCGGCCCACCCACACGCCGTCGGCAGCCGGCGCGGCCGCGCTCCATTTACTTTATGTTCGTTATATAAAAAGGAAAATTATGATAGACTTACACGAACGTCCTTGTTGATTCTTTTTTTACGATTACCTAATGATAATTAGTTAATTACGGTTTTAATTATTAATTTTAACCGAAGCACTAATAAAATATTAAGACGAGAAGCTTATACGCAAAGAGTATTCGATGTAATAATTTTAAAAAAAATGTGCTATCAGAGAACATAACACTAAGGTTTTTTTGAAGTAGAAATTATGCATTATTCATATTAGGTATTTTGGGTATATATTAGTGTTAGTTTTAACAGGTAACATAAGTATGTAGTTTGTAATTGTAATGGAAAAAAAATAAAACAGTTTTGTCGTAGTTTCCTATAATTAAGCTTCTTCTATCTTAATGGTTTAAGTAATACTACTGGTTGATTAATTAAAATATTAATATTACCACTGCAAATATTTGAGATATCTTATGATGAAATATATATCTACTATAAGGACATTATAAAACGTAGATAATTAAAAGAAATCAAAAGTTTCAAAATATAACTGGCTTTTTAATGTTTGCCTTTTTGATCCTCTTCCCTCCACTTAGGGTAAGCCACCTCATCCCCGACACTCGCTAGGATATCATAATTTTTGTTTTTATACGATCGCATAAAGTACACCAAACTTACCAATAATAGTCTTACCAACCCGTCGAATGAGTATGAAAGCCGTTTCCAATTATTATATTCCCCATTCACACAATATTCAATACGTGATCTGCTCAAATATATATATATATATATATACACACACACACACCTTTATGGTAAAGTATTGCAAAATTATTACTAACATTATAATCACAATTAACTTTCGCCTATTTTCTCCTGTCTTTACACGTAGCAACATTTAAACGGTGCCTTTAGAAATCACTACCCATACTGAATCTTAAATTGCGAGTGTCAAGAGTATCAGATGCCAAATGAATGCGTTTTGTTTACATGTTGCCGCGTCATCCAGCGCTTACACATTTTAATTGGCTTCATAGTTCAGCTTCTTTTCTCATCCACAGAGGATGCAATTTTATTCGAGATACCCGAATTTAGTATTAGCCCGGAAGCTACCCCCCGCCCCGCCCCGTCACTTTTCTTAATTTGACCATGCCCTTAACGAAAACTAGATTGATAATATTTTCGCTTTAGGACTTAAGTTTTCGTTAGTTAGTGTTAACCAAATTGCGATTGCTTGCTGGCGATTTCGATTGTTAGCAATTTCTGCATTAATAATAATTTGTTTGCAAAAAAAAATACTTGACAAGGCATGCAGGTATAATATCCTAGTGAAGATCAACTTGTTTTTCACCCTAAGGTATTCTGTACACTACATATAATTTGTGCAGTCACCTTATGATTGATCGTAGCTACGTACGGTTGTATGATTTACAAAGATATAAATTGATAACATTTCCAGTCTGACACCTAAATGAAAATGCTCGATGAATGATCATTGGAGTAATTTTTCTAAAACTAAATTATAGATAAATTTCACGATATGCTCAGTTATGAAGCCTCCAGAGGAATGTTAGATTTGCAACTCATTTAACCCAATCCCTTGTCAGAGATTGACGGCGTAAGCAGCGCCGGTGGCCCTAAATACACTCAGATACCGCAGAGGAATGAGACGATGGGGGCGCCACCACAGGTTAAACAGTAATGTCTCACCAGACGTATCGACCTGCCAAGATGGGCAGGATGGGCCTTGTTTTAATTTAACCGCTATAAAAATATGTCATTGAACATTTTGTGTCAAATTGTCCGTGAAACATCAGTTTCTAAAGCTTTAGGAATCGTTTTTAGATTTGTCGTAGCATAGGTTGGACACAGCGACATCTAGTAAATAGTTTCTTCAAATCGTCGGTAGATGTCGCTGTTGTGGTGTTTAATAATTCCAAAGCATATTCGTTCGTAGAACTTAACGATAGTAGACTTTCAAATTGATGTTTAAAATTTTCAATTTATCATGATGTTTGGAAGGCATAAAATGAACAAACTGATTTTTCTAAAATTTTCAAGATTTAATTTGCACAGCCAAATATTTTGAAAGCCCTCATTATTAAAACTCAAAAATAAATAGTAATTGCATTTATTGAATAAGAAACGAGTTTTTTTTTTTAAATATAATGTTTGTTACGTCAGGTACCTTTAATGTATTGCGGCATGGTGTCGCCTCAGCCGTCGTTCTGTAACGTTTCGGACATGTCTGCATCGGCGTCAGGTTTCTATTAGATCAAATTATTCACACATTCATGTAAAGTATAATAGTGTATATTGAATTTCATCAATATTCTGGTACGCACTAAGATTGAGTAGAGTATAACATTGGGGCAAACTGTACAAAGAGCACTTAACAAAACTATTTTTTTTTTAATCGAAGAGCGATCTTGACGCTTTTATTTGATTTTTCCGTTTGACGATTAAAAGTTATATACACACAGGGAAAGTCTTTGGTAAGTTTGCAAGACGCAAGTAGTCCATAGCAGTAAAGATTATAGTTTTTTTTTTTTTTCTAGTTAATATAGTCCTTATACATGTTTCGAAAGCGACTTAAACGTTTCTAACATTTACATACACAAAAATCAACATAGTGCAAGTTGATTATGACCTTAGTCCTAATATTAAACGGAATAGTATAAAACTTAAGTTAAATAGTGTAAAACTTCGTTTGTAAGTTTAATAGTATAAAACTTAATTTAATTCATAATTAGTCGAGATGACAAAATTTTAAAAACTAAAATAATCACATCACAGTTCAATCATATTGATTTAGCAAATAAATGATAGAGTTTATTCTAAAAGACAGATTTTATTAATAGAGTAAATGAAAGTAAGTAGTCGCCTAGCTAATTTTATTTATTTAGAATCAGAAAGTAACTAAAGTTGGCGTAATCTAGTGGCGTGTGGTGCGGTGAGTATACTTTTATTATTACCCATTCCTTTCCAAAACAAAGCTTGAAAAAAAAAAAAACGTTGCTTCTATTAAGGTGAACGGTCGGCCGAGTTGTGTTTGTAACGTGCTTTATAAATATAGGCGACGACTATGAATACACTGGCGGCTCCGGCGACGGCTACCAGCGCTCCTCCAAACGGGCCTATCACGGCTCGTCAACGGGTGGGAGTGCATCGGCAACATCGTACCATCCTTATCGGCGCTAGCGGGTGACGTCACGCCGCCTCCGCGATCCCATGCCGCCCTGGTACCCGACGCGTTTCCTTCACACGTTTTCCCTTTCTTTAGCTGGGCCGTTGTTAGCAACGTTATAATATAATTATAATATAATTAATTATCATCATCACCGGTTCATAACGCCATGTTTTTTTTCGGTGGCACGCGATAAAGTTTACAAGGTGCCCGTCAATCGCAGACCTCGGAACTGGCTTCCGAACAACCGGACATATCAATATTTGTATGATAGCTTTTTGTACTCGCGTAATCATCGAGTTTGTAAATGATTTTTGCCGGTCGCGAGCGTTATAAGAATGGGGCTATACCGTACTCGCGAGGGTTTGGAATAAATCGAGACTTCTTATAAACTCGTGGCCGGTTATAAGTTAGTATAGTAGATTTTTCTTTTGGATGTTTTTGTTGCATTTCGGACGTTACGAACGTACCCAATGGTTTTGGGAACTGAAATTTGTGAAGTTGTAACTAACAAAAGTATCCCGCAATGTCTGGCGAATACATTTATTTTTGATAACCACTCCCAGTTTACAGAATGTTAATGTTTCCACTTTAAAGTAATGGATACAATTATATATCTGACCTAGATTGTAAGATTCTTACGATGTTTACTCCTTGCTAAATCTTCACGAGTGTGAGTTGTGATCGGTGTACTATTGTACCGCAATATATTTTTTTATCTACTGCAGTTTAGGTGTAACGATTTATGTAAATTACGTATTGTTAATCTATGGGAATATTATTAGTATCTTACTGTGTCACTGTTTTCATTGTGTCTTCAATACCATCCTTATTGACTAGTGTCGGGGCCGGCACTAGATATTTCTTGTATGGTTTAGGGTGCATGTGATATTCCTATGTGTTCCGTCTGTTTTGCATTGCTAATTTCAGACATTATTGTCACATTTATTTACATAACACTGACTAGTACAATAATTCGGCATGTCATGATGCAAATTGTAATTAAATATTCTTATTCAATACTACATGTGCTCCGTTTTATATTAAAATAAAACATCGCTGTGCCAAGCCTCGATGTTTGTGTTGTTTTAAGATGATTTTTGTTTACGCTTAAACCTACCAGGACCTCAACAATGCCGTGCAGATGGTAAAGCCACTTGTGTCTCTAGTGTTTTAATACTATGTATAATGAATAGATGCCTCTACATGTTTTGATCACGAAAAAATAATCGCTTATTGTGACCATATCCATCCGTTGCCAATTATCATTCCATTTGTATATTATGGACTAAATTCTGTAGTTTGCCGCTGACCAGTGTGTGACAATTGCATGTTCATTGAGTTTGATTACAACTGTGACAAGCTTTGTATACTTTCGAAGGGTCGTTGCGTTTTTCACCAGATTGTAATTTTGGGGCATTATCCTATGCAGTAATATTCAAGTTTGGTCCACAGTTGTGCGGCATGCATCCTTTTCTCACTTGACATGTTTTTTTTTTACTTCAATAAATGTACTAATAAATTTAAGTTGTTATTTAAATTTAAACGGTTCCCCCCGCGATTCCAAAGCACTTAATCTAGTCTAGACATTTAGGATGTAATAATTTAATCACTAACTTAGTCAAAGTCGTATGTGTATTTTTTAAATAGTTTTATGATATTTTTTGAGCATTTTTCTATCACTTTATGGGACTAAGGCTTCGGTTATTATTATTATCGTTAATTCTATAGCAGTAATAAATTAATGTAAAAATTAACTAAATTTGTGTAAGAAGAAATGAAATCGTTAAGATCATTTATGTTTATAAATATATTATTAAAATTACAATTAGTATATAGATTTAGCAATATACAATAGATCGCGTTACATATTCTATAATAAATATAAAATTTAAAGGTGCACAAATATGAAATTTAATCATAGGAAAAATATTTAAACTTATTCTAGATATATCTTATATAATTAAATTAAACTAAAATTAAGAGATAAAATTTATACGGCACGGAGATTGTTAGCTAAACAGATTAATGTCTAAATATAGAATAATAAATACATCCATATTACTAGTCCGTTAGTACAATTGTTATTTTGCTATTAGTATGATTAATTTGTCGAGTTAAGTTTTTATGAAAAATTCTCTTGTAGTAGTGATTGGTCTCAATAAATTGTGTAAATTTTATTTATCACATTATTTAATACAATCGTTTTAATATCTAAGTATATAATTAAGACAATTTGTTCACAAAATAACACCAATGGACAGAGGACATTAAATTTGAGAGCAATTTTCTTAAGGTTTAAGTTAAATAAGTAGTTTTTATAATTTTCACGTTACGTAAAGAAGCATTTATGAATAATTATGCGTCAATGTTTGAATAGAAGATTTTTATAGTAGACCGCGTTTGGCAGAAAACTTGAGCAGGAGACGTGAAGCTACATCTTTGATAAAAGGTAAGGCACTATACAGTGAAAGCGTTCAAATATACATTTAATACATTGCACATGCAATTGACAAAATTATCTGGATACTCATATCAAAGTTTAAATTTAGTACCCATAATTGGATACTAACAGGAACTATAAACTAACGAAATCGGGGAATGGGTAGAGAACTTTGGTTTAACCGGCTTTGGTATATTTTATTATCTACCGAATATAGCAATAAATGTCAAGAAGTCTGGGAAGATCGAATTTCTATGAGTTCTTGTATGTAATATCTACATGGTTTTAAATATGTTAATTTATAAAAAACTGGAACTATGGGTAAAGCGACAAGTAATAGAGCAAGATTTTACTTATGAGATATCCTACGTGAGCTTAGTTCTTAATTTGACTTACGGCCGGTTTCAATATTCTATCTGCAGCTTGGGTTACTAGCGATAGGTATTTCACATTAGCTCCGTGATACTTACGTCAAAATTCTATCTCGATCAAATATATCTGTAGATAGAATAATAAAACCGGCCGTATGTGGTAATAAAAATTGACACACATTAATAACGAATTGAGCCATTTGCTACTAGCAGGGTTTAGGATGCAAATTACACAAACATATTATTGTGACGTTGCGCTTTCTGTAAACGGTTTGGAGCTCCGCGTACATGGGGATGAGGTGGGCCGTGCCCGGGGCTTGTCTCATGGCTCGTTGCAAGAGTTTCGGCGCGACGTGCAGTTGACGCATTCGCACGGCCTCGCGGGCGCTTCGTCCGGCAGGTGGGCTTGTGCCGCCCTGTAGCACAGCTCCCTGTAGCGAGCGCAGCCTGCAATTAGATTGTCTATCGTTAGTGTTGCCAGCAAAAGGAGTTCGAGTGAAGCCCCTAAAGGTTTTAGAATAACTTTGCATAACACGCAGATAAAGGGGATCTTTAATTTTGAAACAACTGACCAAGTATGAGTCCAGTTATGTCTAGGCGGAAACGTATTCAATGCTCTTATTGTTATAAATAAAGTAAGACTGGAAGGTCCATGCGAAATTTTCTCAGCACCGTGATCATCGCATTATTTTTTTATGTGTAAAGATAGCAAGCGAGCTGACGTCTCACCTAATGTTATAACCGCCGCCCATTGACATTTGCTCCATCCGTAGCGTTGCAGATGCGTTGTCACCTTTTAACGAAGCGAACCCCAGCTACTCCACTCACCAGACGAAACAGAAGTATAACACTTCCAGTTCACACCGATCTTCTGTGATGTCTTAGTATTTACCCGGACGGACCTACCCATTTGCGCAACAGCGATGACTTGCATGGCCCTACCACGGTTCGAATGCTGATATAATAATTTGACAGTCTATATCGCTATCTTTTATTTAAACAAATTTTCAATAGATCGCATTATCATACATTCTTCATGAAAAGAATTCTGAATGCAAGACATGCTACAACATAATGTTATTCTACCGTCTATTCAATAGCGGCAATCATAAGCTTTAAAATTGTGCTTGAATGAATTATTGAAGTAATGGTCAGCGCCATTACTTCAATAATTCTGAATGATTTGTTTCCCGATGAGTCTATTACCGAACTAACAAAGTAAGCATTCGTTAAATTGGTCAAGGTGGGGCAAGAATACAACCTGTCGGTGGCAAAGCTAATCGGGTGTCCGCGGCAAACCCTCGCTGAGCCAGTCGGTCGAGAAGTGTAGTGGCCGACCATCACCTCTCATCGCTTGCAACATCTTTAACATGATAGGAAAAATGTATTACAAGAGGGAAATAAAGTAACTTGGGTCTATACCCAAGATGAGAACATAAAACTTGGCTGTGATGTTTTTTAAGTGAAAAATTCTTTAGGGGAGCTGAGCACTTTATTTTGGATATGGAATTAGACTTGTATTTTGTACTCTTATTATCCAATCATTGATAAAATTTTCACTCTAATCGTTTGGTCGTGAGCACAAACGATTTTTTTGACAAATATATTTAGGTACCTACAAATTTCCATGTTTAGGACTAACTTTAGTTTTTGCTCAACAAAGGATTTGTGTGTGGTCACGCTTTGTAACTACCTAGTCATCAGATTTGCATTGATAAGGTTATTTCGTTATTTTAAATGTCAGTCTAAAGTTACCCTCGTTTGGAGCAGGTGAGCGTCCGCCAGATTTCTCTTCAGCTCGAGGGGACGTGGATCCGTCAGAGTTATGCTGCTATTAAAAACAAATAAAGATAATCGTTAGAATTTTGCAAAAAAATAAAACGAAAAATATATAGGCTTCATAAAAACTAAACACTGCTATATCTGATTGCTAATTAATTTCATATTGTTTAGTTTTTTTTTGTCATATGAGAAGGTGGCAAGCGAACTGGCGGTTCCCCTCATGTTAAATGATAACCACCACTCAAAGACATCTGTAACATCCGTAGCCCGGTTACCTCACTCGCCAGCCGAAACGCAAAAATATAACACAGACACAACACTTCTGTGAGGTCGTGATACTTCCCTTGATGAGCCTGTCTATTCGTGCATTAGCAAAGACCACTACTGTCCTACCACGTACTTAACTCTTATTCCATACGTAAATAAATATAATTATGCAATAAACCTACCAGTAATACATAAACAATAAACCGAATATCCAGCTTTATAACTTTATTAATATAACGAAAGAAAAAGTTCGTAAGTAACAACGCTAAATTTCTCATTAGGTACCACCTACACGTCACAATGTTAAAACTGCCTTTGTTAGGTAGGTTACATGGTCGCGGTAAACAAACGACTTAGAAAAGTTTATGAGGCTAAAGTAAAACAGATTTTTATCAAGCTTAAATTGTTTATTACTTCTTAGATATGTAATATTAACATGTAGTAGGTAATACTACAAGTTAATATTACACATATTACATTACCCGGACACTGAGCCGTGATAGCTCAGTGTCCGGGCGCTCGCCTTTAATTCAATATATACTCGAGCAACCTGAGTTCGATCCCCGGTGCCGGCACCAATGAAGTTTTTAACTTTAAGTGCTGACTTATCACTTGTATTAACTGATGTTTTTGCTTTCAGTCCCGAGACTATTAAAGCTTCATCGGACTTAAAGCTTCATCGGACTTAAAGCTTCATCGGACTTAAAGCTTCATCGGACTTAAAGCTTCATCGGACTTAAAGCTTCATCGGACTTAAAGCTTCATCGGACTTAAAGCTTCATCGGACTTAAAGCTTCGTCGGACTTAAAGCTTCATCGGACTTAAAGCTTCATCGGACTAACTTATCACGTGCTCCGCGGTGAAGGAAAACATCGTGAGGAAACCTGCATATTTTCGAAATAATAACAAAAAAAAATGTATTTCGAAGATATGTGAAGTCCGCCAATCCGCAGTGGGGCCGCGTGGTGGACTATGCCCTGATACCCTCTGTATAGAGGAGGCCTTTGCCCAGCAGTGGGACATGTATAGGCTGTTACTTTTAGGTAATAATAAAACTTTTTTTGTCTTAAAATGGGGATGATTCATAGTGAAATTTGTCGATCGCAGTGTAGTGATCGAAATCCGCAACGGCGAGAAACTTCTTTCTTCTACAAATTTTAATGTTTTATCCTAATTGCAGAGATTGCACTACAAATAAATTTCAGACAAGTTAAGACTTATTCCCGGTTCCTATATTCAACGAACGGCCGGTGGTTACATAGCTTCGCAACTTTCATAACGACTTGTAGATTAAAGGAGCGCTAATAATTCACTTTCCGTAGGTAATGCAACGGCTCGTAAAGAAAACGCCTCGTTGTTAATATGGGAACCAGACGTACACGCCTTTTATCTACAAGTCTTTTTTTTATTTTTATTTTTCTTTTTTATTAATATAAAACATTGCCCTCACTTTAGGATATCATTATCCTGTGTTGCAAGGAAGTTTTACATACATAAATTTCACGTGGACAAACACCCAGATGCGAAACAACTATCTGTGGGTCACACAAATAGTTGTCCCGTGTGGGAATCGAACCCACGACGCCCGACGCCGAAGCCAATACATTGACGACTGCGCCACGGAGTAACCAATCGTTATGAAAATTTGTAACTAACGACCGTTCGTTGAATATAGGAACCGGGCATCAGTGGTAAGCGCGAGTCCGCAAGACGTGGGTTCGAATCCCGCAGCGAGGAGAAACTTTTCGTCCTTTTTTCTACAGATTTTAATATGGTATTTATACATGCATGGTGTCCCGAAATTTTTCATCCTTTATTGGAAATTCGACATATCACGAACCTTTGTAAAGGTCAAACGGGAAAGTTAAACAGCGGTTTTCAGTTCAGGGAATCCGTTAGATACAGTCAAGCCTCATACATAAAAAGTTTGATTTAAATTTCTATATTAGCTGCGTTGTTTCTGATATCTTTTTTATCTATTTAAAATAAACTAAGGCAGTGGTGCACGACGGATGCCAACTTAGGAATTGTTTACCTAATTTTAGTAAGTAATTTTTAGACGGTAAATTCAGGTAGTTTCTCATTTAGGGGAGTTTGTTTTGAATTTATTGAATTTTAGTGGGTTTTTGAGTTTATATTTTTATTGCTTTAAGATTTTTTTTAACAGTTAGTAGCACTACTGCACGGTTGTCTGTTTCGGAAGGACATAAGTTTCCAATTCGAACACTGGGTCCTGTAGGCTGAAGTGTATGTCGTCATAATTATATTTAGTGGTACGCAGAACGCAGAATTAGAAAGTACAGGAGAATCGCCCATTTTCTTTAAAGCAACTGTAGGCAGTAGAGTTTAAAACACGTTTTCATACTTAACTAGTGCTCACCAAATGCCTAAAATTGAATCGACCATAATGATTATCAAAGATTTGATGAAAACATTAATTTTTCCAAGATTCATTTTCTACCCATTTACATTTGTTGGCTGTATATATGAGAGCATACATTTTTGTGTGTGACAACTAACAATACAAAATAGTTCAGCACCCGAAATTAGGGAATATTTTTATTTAATTTTTGTTGTCAACAACACGAAGTTCGTAAAGAACTTATAATAAAAAAAGAAAATCATTTCACAAACACAGGAGAAATAGGCTCTGAACTGTTTTGCCTTTACCTCTTTAGTTTATCCACTTTATAATCACCTCGATATCCGCATGTATCCATCAGTGTCTATCCAGGGCCAGATTTAGAGGTCTGGATGCCTCGGTGCAATAAAGGTGTGGAGGCCCTTGGCCCCAAAATTATTTTCTATTGATTTCTATTAATATTTAATGTGATCATGTTTGTACAAAGTACTGCAGGTAAAAGTAAAACCCGAAAAAAAAAAATCAAAGGAAAAGATACTACGTTTACTATTGTTTACTAGTCTGAATTTCTTTTTTCCGAAGTCTCTATTGTGAGAGGGGTCCCCTCTTTTCTGGAGGCCCCGGGGCTGTTGACTCGGTTGCCGTCCCCTAAATCCGACCCTGTGTCTATCCCATTAGAAATGTACGATTTACGCTTGGGGTATTTTCGCTCAAGCCGAATATAAGCAAACAAATGATACACTATTAGGCGAGAGCGAGTATTTCAGCTTGTAGACAATTACATGAAGTACGTACATTAGGATCGCGCCGGTAAAGCGATCCGTGGCTTAGCGACGCAGGCGGTTGTGCGGCTCAAACAAAAGCCTTTGTCCGTACGTCGCTGAGTACACAAACATATTTACATACGCTCTTGTTATCCCCTTTTACTATACTTTACATATAAACTCCTAAAGTTATGTTGGTTGGACCGCCAGGATACGGAGTTCAATCACCTATAGTTTTAAACATTTTATAGTGCTTAATTTAACAATGGTTTCTTTAAGCAATTTTGACAATTTCGTATATTTACACAATTAAATTAATATTGCAATGAATGCTGCAATGTTTTCCATTTTGCTTCTTACATGTTTTGGGGTTTTGCAAGCTTTCTTGCTTTTAGCTGCGTCACCCCGTTCGTATAGTAAAAATAATTAAGTACTGTAAACGCTGCGGTTGAAAATTATTATAATGTTACTGCTCGCGAGGCTGTTAACTTCCGTGATCACGGCCGACGTGAACGAGTATACAAGCAAAAATTAAGAATAAAAATAATTACTGGACATATTTTTACACATCGATATCTAGTCCCGCACTTTAAATTAACAATTTCATTGTTGCCCATTGGCACCGGCGATCGAACTCAGGTTGCTCGATTATATTAAATTAAAGGCGAGCATCCGGACACTGAGCTATCACGGCTTACAAAACAGTATTACATGGAAATTCAAAATATCTGGAAATGAAAATAGCAATTGCCATAATAATAAGGTCGTTTCAGTCTTAATTTCCATTATTTCCAATCCATTGGAAAATATATATCTCCATAAATTGATATCTCCGTTATACCGTTAATTTTATACTTTTAATCGTATTAAAATGTAGCAGCTATGTGTAAAACCAGCATTGCGTAGGCAAGAGTAGGTAACTGTTAGCATGTTCGAAAGGATAATTTCCTTTGGAACGTTTCGAATGTCGACGATCGGATATTGACAATACATTGTAACGTGTTCGGCCTGCAGTGTTATTAATGTTTCCCATTACACTAACCGAGGCATGCAGAAGCATCGTGTTTAGTGTATCTGTTAAGTTGAACAAGTACGTTTCCGATATCACACTTGGTATCCAATTTGGACGGGATAATTCGAAATACACATGAAATACATATTTCATGTTTATTTCGAATCAATATCATTTCATTTATGTAGTGACTTAGAAAAATGTTCCGCGGGAGGAAAATGGTGTGAATTAATGTACAATTAAAATTCGATGTGTCTGTCTGATGTCGTTTTAGTGAAGCTAGTGCAATGTAACTGTGGTAGGGACACGCAGCAGCCTCGGCTGTTGCGCGAATGGGCAGGCTCGTCCGGGTAAGTACCACGACCTCACAGAATACCGGCGTATAGGGGAAGTATAATAAATACTTTCGCGTTTCGTCTGGTAAGTGAGGTAGCCGGAGCCCAATCTTCAAAAGGTTGTCAACGCATCTTTAACCCTCGGGTGTAGCAGATGTCCATAGGAGGTGTTCACTTAACATCAGGTGAACCGCCTGCTCGCTTGGCAACTTTTCACATCAAAAAAAAATGTTAGATATACGTTAGATCGATGATGTTTAATAATATAGATGACATGTGTCCATACTGCGTCGTGTTTTAAAATTGTTCTGCTTTACACTATGCGACATATTTAAGTGAATGTGACAGATGATATAGAATGTATGATACAAAAAGAGAAAGCAGTCTATAGAATTGCTACGCAATTACAAAATTTGGTGTCATCTGAGTGCCTCATTTTTGGTGTGCGACAAACGTCACTTTCGACAAACGTCGGAGCAAGAGGGGGAAATAAACAACACATATTAAAATGAAAAAATGGAGGTTTTGTAAAAAATATTTTATAACAATAATAATATTCTGGGGTTTTTATATGAACATACTTATTTTAAACCTGAAATGACTCCGTGGCGTAGTTGCCAAGGTATTGGCTTCGGCGTCGAGGGTCGTGGGCTTGATTCCCACACGGGACAACTATTTGTGTGATCCACAGATAATTGTTCCGAATCTGGGTGTTTGTCCACGTGAAATTTATGTTTGTAAAACGTCCTTACAACACAGGATAGTGTTATCCTAAAGTAAGGGCAATCAGCATTTTCAGAATTTAACTATGGTTTTAAAGCAATATAACTAGGTTATTTAAGTACAAATTAAGTTATACGCCAATTCTTGATTATCATTTGTCAAAGAAACCTGCGGTTTAACTGTGGTAGGACCACGCAACAGTCCTAGCTGTTGCATGAATGGGCAGGTCCATCAGGTGAAGTACCACGACCTCATAGAAGACCGGCGTGAAGTGGAACTATAACACTTCTGCTTTTTGTCTGGTGAGTGAGCTAGCCGAGGCCATCTTTATTAAAAGGTAGCACCGCATCTGCAACCCTACGGGTGTTGAAAATGTCCATGGGTTATCACTTAAAATCAGGTGAACCGCCAGCTCGTTAGCCACTTTGCCACATATAAAAATAAGATGTTAAAAATAAAACAAGATGTAAAAATAAAATAAAATGTTTCGTTTTTGGCGACCACTGTATATAATTAATAGAAAAATGGGAAAAATATAGAGAAGAGTTGTAATAAAAATAAATAATAAGTAAAAATAATATCTTATAAAAATTATAATATTCTGGGAGTTTTAAAATGGCAATCCTTTTTTTTAAGCCTCGACAGCATTTTTAGAATTTCACTTTTGTTTTAAAGCAATATAACCACAGGTTCATCAATCATTGATTATCATTTTTCAAAGAAAAAAGTTCAAAAGTCTAAATTGCTGATTACACGCATGTACCACACCTCGAGTAGACCAGTATATCCGTACCACATATCAGACAATATTATGTTACAATTATTTCCCTAAAATCCAAGAGTTCACATTGAATATGACATACTTTAGATAGCCATTCTTTCGAGTATGTAGGTACTTAATTGTTGTGTTCAACAATACGGAAACCATATTTTCCTATTTTTACAGCACAAAAATATAATACCTAAATAATACTGAGGGGTTCAGTTAGTAACAAGTAATAACAAATCATTTTCTAAGAACCAACAACCAAGTGTTCTCAGAGATGTTGCACAAAGCGTTAGATTTCTCGTTACCTAAATACGACAGTGATTTATTCGTTAAACACTCTCATAAATATTGTGGGCAGGAACGGATTCAAGTTCTTATCTATAGATGTTAGTATTATATCGAATGTTTTATATAAAATGTGGTATAAGACTTATTTAGTTAATTGTTATTAAAATGCACTTATTGATAACGAAGTTAGCGGTTATGTCTGGTTTATTAATAGGTGATTATTAATAGTTTCATAACAGACAATTACTCGTTACATTTTGCATGTGCATACAATTATTGCAAGCATTACTTCAATAGAAAGATAAGAAATACTCAAACAATCGTGCCCTAGCAGACAGGGAAATCCACAATTGTTCTTATCCTTGAGTATCTGTTTTATTACATCTGGTTCATTCCGTTTGAAGACTATTTGAGACTTGTGCAGCGTCTTGGATAGTTGTCATTCTCTTTTTGCTTGCATTCCGCAGACCACTAAAGCTGCATGTATCGAACCTAAAACTCTAAAGTAATTTCACAGTCATATCCTACGATTTTGATACGAGCCTAGCTATCCAACACCCTCAGTGTTGGGTAGCTAGGGTCGCGCATGTGTTCAACCAACGGGCCATCGAGTTTCGGACCATCACTATGCGTTGGCTGTATTTAATTACATAAATTATTGATATCACTATTCCTAACTTTCTATTCTTGGACATAACCACTAATCAATCGAATATTAATGTTCCCTATGCGCAAGGTACTTGGATTATTAATTAATGATTTTGCGTCAAGGTTATAAGTCCATTGCAATCCATTATTCTATTCTCATTTAACAAAAAAACGCGGTCACAGTAGACCTTCTCCGAAAAACGATAAACTTAGTAGGCTTATGGAAAAGTATATTTATTTCTTCTTTACGGTCTACTGTGAGGCCGTGGTGACTCGCCGCTGGGAAATAGCAGAAGCTGCTTAAATGAATGGGCACAACGTCCCGCGTGGACATAGCTACCTGATGGATGTCCACGTTGGCGGTGGCAGTCAGCAAATCCAGGATAGCGGAGAAGGAGCCTCTCGCCGCCCGCCGGAAACCCTCTGGAGGCGTCTCAGCGGCCCCGCCAGCCACACTCATGGGAGACTGTGACCACTGTACATATAAAAGTAAAAAGTAAAGTAATAAACTATACATAAACTGCTGGGCAAAGGCCTCTGTACAGAAGGTATGAGGGCATAGTCCATCACGAGGCCCCACTGTGGATTGGCGGCCTTCACATATTTTACAAATATTTTATTTTTGTTATTATTTCGAAGGTTTCGAAGTTTGTAGGTTTTCGACGTTTTCCTTCACCGCTGAGCACGTAATAGCGCTATACATATATGCATAGATTATATAATATGCTTTAGAAAATTAACCTTCCGGAGGCGACGATTTGCAGATATATTGACAACTTTTAAAAATGTGGTCGCCGCCGCCAGTTACCTCATAAATTAGAAGAGATGACACGTCAAGATTAATTTTATAGTTAAATTACATTAGATGGAAAAAGTGGCTTATGAAATGGCAACGTTACTTCAAATAATCGTATAAATCATCTTTGTTACACACTGGAATACACTGAATACACTGACTCTGTGAAATTCCATCGACTCTACTACTTCCATTGACGTCTAATACACCTTTTAATCGGAAGGATGAACTGGAAATTGTTTAATTTTTAGGTATTTTGTACTGGAGAGTAAATAAAATAAATCTGTGTAATAATATCCTATATCCTAACAATCATTTCGCGTGTTCGCTGTGCCCACATATTATAATCTAATTTACCCAACGACGTAACGGCTAGTTTACACACAGCACGCTACAATAATCTGCTACTCATAATAAATTTGTGAGGTATAATCGTTTCACACTTATTACAGCTTACATCAAGAACCACGTGGCTTTTTAGCGCGGGGAAAGTAGAAAAGCGAAGGTCTTGTATTCTTGTATTAACTGATGTTTTTGCTTTCAGTCCCGAGACTATTAAAGCTTCATCTGACGCAGAACCGGTGTGCTAGCCAGAACCCACGGGTTTGGGCCCTCCGCTGTTGGTAGGGCCGCGCATGTGCTCATGCGTGCGTTTAACTATGGTTTGTCATCTAAGGGCCATCGAGGTCGCGGTTCGGACCGAAACCCCGATGGCCGTCGACTGTGCAATTAGCTAATCGGTGGCTGGGGGCGGTGAGAACCGCCCCGGAACGCGGGTGTACCTTGTGTACGCGTTGTGTTGATCTCGCCGTGCTCGGAGGCGAGGGCGAACTAGTGTGCGAAGGTCTACTGAAAGTCTATGGAAGATGAAGGAAGAAATAGAGAAAGAATTCTATCACTGTGGTACACACGCAACAGCTTAGGCTGTTGCACGAATGGGCAGGCCCGTCCGGGTAACTACCACGACCTCACAGAGACCGGCGTGAAGTAGAAGTGCTATTCATCTGCGTTTCGTCTGGTGAGTGAGGCAGCCGGGGCCCACTTCATTAAAAGGTGGCAACGCATCTGCAACCTTACGGGTGTTGCAAATGTCCATGGGCGGCGGTAATCACTTAACATCAGGTGAACCGCCAGCTCGCTTGCCACCTTCTCACTTAAAAAAAAGAAAAAAGAATTTTGTCACTGGGGTAGGCCACGCAACATCAACTGTTGCACGAATGGGCAGGCTCATACGGGGAAGCATCAAGGCCTTACAGAAGACCGGCGTGAAGTGTTATACTTTCGCGTTTCGTCTGGTGAGTGAGGTAACCTTGGCCCACTATTTAAAAGTTTGTCAACATCTACAAGCCCTCACATGTTGCAGATGTCCATGGACGGCGGTTATCACTTAACATCGGGTGAACCGCCTGCTCGCTTGACAACACTTCACATAACAAAAATAAATTACGTCGAATTTGTTACGGCATGTTACCTTTTGTAACATTTACAAATAAACTCAACGCACATTGGTAGCGTCCTATGTCTACCCTTTTCGCGTTAAAGCTGAGAGGTTGTACTTTAAAATTACGTTGTAGGTGGCGAATAAGGTTAAATATTTCACGGTTCGCACTTTGTAAACGCCATTACCTTTTGACGTCCCATTACGTGGCCAAAGTAATGAGGTCGAGATGATGTCAGGCGACGTGATTGCGCTAACGAGAATTCTTAATAATCGAGATTGGTTTGAGGCTAAGGAGAGTCGAGTTTTGATGGAGAAATGTAATATAAATAATAAAAAGGAGTATAATAAAAAGGGATAATGCAGTTTTGGATCGTTTAGCGTTAGTTTAAACTAAAACGCAATTTAGAACATTACTAACGTCTGGTTTCTGAAACACTGATCATCGTAGAACTTAACTAATTAATTAATCAGCTGTCAAATGGCATGTCATATATCATTTGAGTTGGCAAAGGGATGGTAAACTCTCTGGGATTGATCAGAATGATCTTCTTAATGATCAGAATGTCTGAATTTTGGTTAAAAGCAAGGTCTTACAGCACAAGTAAAGGGAAAATTCCGAAAAATAAAAAAATTGAAAATTAAGGTAAATTTTGGTTAAATCTAAATTAGCCCTTATCTTTATATCGTGTTGACTCAGGACCTTGAATTTTACACACCTAATAGGGACTATAGACTTCACTATTTGGTATAAATATCAACTTGCTCAGATCCATCCGTTCCTGCGAAAATCGGTAGTGCCACACGGACAAACAGACGGATAAGAGAGTGATCTTATAAGGGTTCCTTATTTTACTTTTTAAGGTACGGAACCCTAATAAATGTTCAACGTTCACTTAGAAATGTGTAAGTTTAACGTATTCGAAAGTGGGTACTCCACAAAAGAATTGTGATGAATGGAGCACTATATAAGTCTTCTCCAATTTGCAAGATACATGAATCCATATTAAAGCACATCCTATATTGATACGGAACAAGTAATTTATAAACATCTGGAGAGACTGTGAGTAATTAGTGTACGGCGTTTTGTATCTTATATGGTTTCTAGTAAATTATTGACAAACCCACACGTCTTCATCATGTACCTAATGTTTAGTTACAAGTATAAAACAAAGTCGTCCCGCTGGCTGTTTGTCCCTATGTATGCTTATCTTTAAAACTACGCAACGGATCTTTATGCGAATTTTTTTTACTCAATAGAGTGATTGAAGAGGAAGGTTTATATGTATAATACATTGCACCCTTGCGACGCCGGGGCGGGTCGCTAGTATTTAATTAAAATGATTATATTCCCCCTTACCCATAAATTGAAAGAGAGATAAATCTTCAGTAGAGTGTAGTTGAGAAGTTGCCGATATTAAGTGAATGTTTGAGAATTATCTACATTTGCCTAAAGGCGCTTTCTCCTATAACTTTCAGATGTTTGTTACATCTGACAGCTTAAGGGCCGATTTTTCTACGCTGTGTTATAGAGTGATTTATAAAACCCTTATACTATGTTCACTAATTTTCTAAGTTATCGTTAAATTTAAACCTGCTATAAATATCCATTAATAATGATACCAAAACTTATAATTACTGATGTGTACGTAGCAGATAATAGCAATCGAAAAATGTGTTTACATTGTATAAATGAACTTAATTTTCTATCGTATGTTATACGCAATAAATAACGCCGTATGCTTATGCTTATGCTTATGCTACCGAATTGATACAATATTGTAAGTTAATATCAATAACTAAAAAACCGGCCAAGTGCGAGTCGGACTCGCGTACGCATGGTTCCATACCATTTACTTTATGAACACCAAAATACCATGTCTGTTGTATTAGAGCCCCACTTAAATATTTTTTTATTCTGTTTTTTAATATTTGTTGTTATAGTTGCTATAACAGAAATACATCAACTGTCTAACTATTACGGTTCATGAGATGCCTGGTGACCGACGGACGGGCGGATAGACAGACAGATAGACAGACAGACAGACAGCGGAGTCTTAGTAATAGGGCCCCGTTTTACCCTTTGGGTACGGAACCGTAAAATCGATAATATTATGATTTCGTCGCTTTATAATTTCAGTGAAATACTCATTAGGTCAATGACAACTATTAATGTTGTATAACATTGTACACAACAAACGATTAACACTTTTGTCATGAAGGGTTCAATATTCTATCATGGTTGTAATTTTTACATATTAATTAGCTAAGGTCTGATTTAAAAAAAGTTCGTAAAATGAGCGTTGAATAATTTATTTGGAAAGAAATTATCTTTATGTTTTACACATCACCCTAGGTGGACGGAATAAACTTGTCTTTGTAAAAATTAAACGTACACAAGCAATCATATCTCGTTTATATTATTTTTTTATAAGTAAGTATTCACGGGATCTGCACATCATTGTGTAGCTATTTTTATGGATTCCAGTTTATATTTTTAATGTCAATTACCGACGTTAATACCGTAAAGTTTTTCAGGAGTAAGGATTTATTGGTATAGAACGTACCTACATGATAAAACACAAAAAGAAATTCGCAATAGTGTGACGAGTTGAAACGATACTTCGGAACTTCGGATGTATGCGATCCTGGTACTTGCGAAAATTCTAAGGAATGGCGCACTCATTTTAGCTTCACGGACGAATAAGAAAAGAGATCTAGCTATCTCTTTCTATCTTAACATCAAGAGAAGCACATTCTAGCGTTTCATATTTTAAAAAAGAGGTATACTAATGGTATGGGAAAAATATAATTAATATGTGCCAAAACTCCTTGAATAGATTGTGGTGAATGATGTATATATTATATTAAAAATAAATAATAAATGGGCAATAAACAAGCTTTAGGTAAACCGTACTTACTGCAAAATTGTTGCAAATGTGTATCGCGATATATCCATAGATTCCGTAAGGATTCCGAAACCGGTTCGAACTGCGAATTTGAATCACCGGTGAAGGTCGTGGACCCCGCCTCATGCATTATTAAGTTTATTCGTGTACATTTAAGCTTTCATATGCGGGATGTTAATAATTCACTTGTATGCAATATACATTACACAGTCACTTTGCGATTTTGGACATCGATTTAAATTGTAATAATGATTTCTTTTAGAAAAAAAACATGTACAATAAAGTTTAAATATGTAAATATATTGATAGAAATATAATATAAGACAATATTCCACACGTTTAATTAATAACATGTATATAATTATGTTACTAGCTACCTACTTACTTAGGTACCCACATGTTCTGGTTTTTGGGTATTACAGATATGATGGTATATAAATAGTAGACACACTTTTTAGGGTTCCATACCCAAAGGGTAAAACGGGACCCTATTACTAAGACTTCGCTGTCTGTCCGTCCGTCCGTCTGTCTGTCTGTCACCAGGCTGTATATATAATAAAATATCATGAGCCATGATAGTTAGTTGAAATTTTCACAGATGATGGTATTTCTGTTGCCGCTATAATAACAAATACTAAAAATCAGAATAAAAAAATATTTAAGTGAGGTTCCCATACAATAGACATGATTTTTATTTTGCCGTTTTTATAGATAATGGTACGGAACACTTCGTGCGTAAGCCTGATTCGTACTTTGCCAGTTTTTTGAGCTATTATAATTATTTCGAGCTTGGCCGTTTTTTAATTTGTGTTTTATGCTTCCATGGCACATAATAACTTTAGAATCAAGGTACTAACAATATTTTTTCAATTAGGGAAAACGTAGAAGTAAGTGCGTATACTTTTCACATATTGATTTTGAATTTATATAATGTAGAATATAAAATATAATTATATTTGTTGTTATAATGTTTTTCAGGCTACTAATGTAATGCTTATGAGCCGTGATAGCTCAGTGTCCGAGTTTAATTTAATTTACTCGAGCAACCTGAGTTCGATCCCCGGTGCCGGCACCAATGAAGTTCTTAACTTTAAGTGCTGTCTTATCACGTGCTCCGCGGTGAAGGAAAACATCGTGAGGAAACCTGCATATTTTCGAAATAATAACAAAAAAAATATTTCGAAGATATGTGAAGTCCGCCAATCCGCCGTGGGGCCGCGTGGTGGACTATGTCTTGATACCCTCTGTACAGAGGAGGCCTTTGCCCAGCAGTGATACATGTATACGCTGATACTTTACTAATGTAAATAATGTACTTAATAATAAAGTTTAATGCTTTATAATGTTAACGCAATACAATACACAACTGTTAATTGAAGAATTTAAGATAAAGTTAAAAATGTAATAAGCTCTATTGAAATTATTGTAGATTTAATATTTTTCAATGTGAAAACACAGATAGATACCTAAACATATGTAACAACATTCCAAGGGGCTACTGCTTCGGCAAATTGGAAATAAATTGCTCCAGTAAATGGATGAACTGAACTGTTTTATTCAAACGGAAGCAGTCAGCTCACAATCATTCGTATTTGTTACGAAGGGAAGTAAGGATATAAACAATAAAGAAATATGAGTATCTCGTACCTCAAGCTGCCCGGTTTACCATGATTTTATTTTATATTATTTGATATTTATTTATTTATTAACGTCTAACTACAAAATTACATGTTTATATTTAAATAGCATACCGAGATAAACGTAAACTCAGGTAAAGAGCAACAATGCAATTTCAATTACAGACGGATACTGCAAACAGAGAGTATAGGTGCATAAACAGTATTTTAAAACAGTAAAGGAAAAAGTAAAAAGATAATAAGAAACAATATAACTACAAAACTACATTACTATCTAAAATGCATATAAAAACCACTCAACAAGGTTGAACATAGACAATTATGTACACATAAGACTGAATATTTTCGAAATAATAACAAAACGGCTACTTCTACGGTGGGGCATTACCTACCCAGACGATTTCAGATTGATATACTGATAATTAATTTGTCGTGTAAAATATCAATTGATCTATATTCATTTGCAAAAAATTATAGTCTGCACAATCTAGGAAGTATATAATGGTGACCCGAATTAGATTTGTATGTTTTATTATTTTATAGATAATTACATTGATGCACGGTTCAATGAACTCTAGGTACTAAAGCGTGTCAAGTGTCACCATATACCGTATGGATCACGGTTTGCAAAAACAAGTTAGTACGGCAATAAAAGCGTGTCCGATAGATAGAACCAACTCTACCAATGAATACCAAATTAATACAAATTAACTTAATAACAATTAAACATTAGATATTAAAATCTATAAGGAGAGAATAAGTATCAATGCTTTATATTATTGAGCCTTTTGCAAATTATACCGCCTGGCCGATAAGGCCTAATATAATGTTAAAACGTACAAAAATATTCGGTATGGTACATTAATAGTACCGTTTTTTACAATTAGATTACTTTATATAATTGTTGTGTACCTAATTAATAAAGCGTATATTTCATAACCTATGTCACGAAGTTGATATTTATCGTAAAAACATGCATAAAACGTTATAAAAAAACGCTTACTTTCAAACAGTCCGTCTTTTTTTAAATATGCAAGTACAGATGTATGTACAAACAATGCAAATAGAATGTGGGCGGGCGTGTGATTTTCGCAACTCATACATTTCGCTGTCGTGGCGCGGACACAGATGTTGATAGCCATGTCGCCCTGGTAGCCATTGCAGATATTTCATGCCACATGTAACCTCCAACTAATTAAATAATTAATCATCACAGATCGATTTTTGACGATCGATTTTGATATTTGTTTTTTTCCTTTTTCGCCTGTATCTTAAATTATTATTAGTAAAATTTTAAATTCAACCCAAAAATGATAAATTCTGTTAGTAAATTTAATACATAATCGCTAATTAAGTATCTTACAAAGGAAATGTCATTGATGAATAAATAATATATTAATTATAAAAATAGTACTTTGTACGATTAAAACCCTTAACTTTAGCATTCATTGTAGCTATATATATTATTAAAGTCTAATTAGTGTGTTATACAACAATACTCAACTAAATAAAAGATAAAACATTATTAATTCAAAACTAGGCTCATTATTTTGACTATTCACGACATGGGGATATAGCTCAGTGGTAGAGCATTCGACTGCAGATCGAGAGGTCCCCGGTTCAAACCCGGGTGTCCCCTGACTTTAGATTTTCTTTTTTATATTTTTGAAAAAATTTTCGGCATGTACTTTCTGAAAAAAGTTAACTAGTACTTAAGTAGTATATCTATTTCTATTAAATCATTTTCTTTTTTGGTTTTCTTTGCAAACATTCTTTAGTTGGATTATGAAATGAATTATAAATGAATTATTAATTAATTATAAATTCCATAAACATAATTATTATATTAAGAAAAAAATAAGCAAAAACATAATTATTATATTTAAAAAAAATAACAAATAATAAAAGATTTATATATTATTCATATAAAGTGTGAATAATTAAAATCATAAAACACGAATTTAAATTAATAACTCTAACTTACCTGTGAATTGTATCTAAAGTGCCTATAGAAGTTTTCACTTAAAAATAAATTATTTCTTAACTCACCTTATCGGTGACTGCAGGGTCGGCTCCATGCACTAGGAGAAGTTCCACTATATCTGCCGCGTCAGCGGCACAAGCAGCGTGTAACGCTGATGAGCCCACCTGTATTAAATTTTTAATAGATCTCTCTTAAAATGTATCTTAAAATATTCTTACGTTGCTCGTAATCTTTACATAGTATATAAACAGTCGCTCCCACTGTTTGTACGCTTAGATCTTTTAAAGTACGCAACGGATTTTAGTGTAGTTTTCAGCATAGATAGAGTGATTTAAGGCGCTGTACGCAGTAAAAATAGGTTTTTCAAAAGATTTTTTAACAAAATCTATACATTTTATAGACGCAAAAAAAAAATGTAAATGTAATAGGTAAAGAATGACTTGGACTGGCGGCGCGTCGACGAAACTCGCGCGCTGCGCGCCGCGGCGTTACCCCTCCTCCGCTTCCTCATACTTCACCACCCAAATTGTTAAAAATTCACTGCATACAGCGCCTTAAGAGCAAGGTTTATATGTAGTATACATGCGTATTATAGTGATGTGATGCAAACGCTGGCTAAACCTTACGACGTAAAACAAATTAATGTATACTACGAACTAGGTGGTACTTAAAAAGATGTTTGTACTGTCTCATGAAAAAAAACAGCTGTAAAAATAGTATAAAGATAAATTATCATGTATATAGACTAATCATAATCATAATATTATTATTAACTATACACTGCCCCACATTAGTTATCCAAATTACACCCGTGCGAAGCCGGTTAGTGTCGCTAGTTTTATTACAATGTAATTTATTATAGTGTCCGGAATTGTTGTCCGTATGTTATAAATAGTTATGTAATAATAATACTAAAAACAATAATAAACTATGGTAAATTTTAAATAAAAATACCCTAATAATTCTATATCTTTGTTCTTGTATAAATTATTATTATGATGATATTTATTGTATGATGGCGTGAAGTGACGTGAAGTAACCGTGAAGTGAAGAAGACGAAAACGAACGAACGGCAATCCATAATGTTAAAAAATTGTTTTGACGTTCATATTAATAACAGTCTGTACCAGGATATCATAACTTTTAAAGGACTCACGTTGTTTTGCAAATGGACGTCCGCGCCAAATGCGAGTAAGTGCTCTACGATACCCCTGCAGCCCTGAGCGCATGCCATTTGCAATGCCGTTACGCCATTCTGTACACAACATAAACGAAAAATATCCAATCACGCTGTACATGATCAATCAATAAATAGGAACCATTAATGTAGAGAGCATTCAAGAATTTTTGAAAAAATTCATTAAATCGTTTATTGTCTGAATGAAACGTTGAGTGAAAAATGAGTGCGATGGTATATAAGTTTATATCAATTATTTCACTTTCGAAATGTTAGTTGGCAGTTTTATTTCAAGTTTAGTTAGTAAAATTGAAAGAACATAAAAGAGGGTTGGTTTCGCTACAAAACAATGTTAGAAAGTTGTGACCGACCGTGAGCAATGTCGTGATTACCAGGAGCATATAAACGCTCAAATGTTCAGAGACACATTAAGAATTATTCGCGTTCACCGACCGTGCCCGCGATTGGTGGATCCATTTAGAAAAAGAAAGCACGTATGTTTCCGTTCGCCTCTTTATGTACATTTAACAACTAACAAACAACTTAAGCAAGAAGGGCCCGCGTGGCCGTCTGTCTCCTTTCAATCGTAATACGTTTCGCGCAAAACGTTTCCAGATGACAACTCCAATTACCAGGCGCGCATAAACTCACGTTGTCGGTGGCGTCCACGTGACAGCTTGTCTCGAGTAGAGTTCGCACGAGTTCGGTGTGCCTGTGAACGGCGGCGATGTGGAGCGGGGTGCGGCCAGAGTTGTCGCTCGCTTCACGCGCCGCCCCCTTGGATACCAGGAGAACAGCGGTGTCTGAGTGGCCGCCCTCGCACGCGACGTGGAGTGCTGTACGCCCGGTCTGGGGAGACATGGTATTATTATTATTAGGTTATATATAAACTTCATAGTTTGCTTTTGTTTGTTGTTGTTATATTATGAAATGAAACTTGCCAGTTTTATTTACTGAATTTACTTGTGGGGGAAGTAACCTATGAATTACTTTATTCTGGGTTATCAAAACGCCGGCTGAGTGTTTTCAGATATTAAAACATGATAATTATTTAAAAAACAATAGTATAAAATAAAGCACACCTGCCAAGGCAAATTACGTATTTCTTAAATTTGCGTGGTTTCACCTTATTTAAACAATGCAACTGCAAACAATGGTATGTAAGATGTTATTTAGTAAGTGTTTAGTATTGTAATGTTTTTTGTCCAATAAATTGAATATTTAAATATTTTCTTTGAAATATATTCACTCGGACGACTATTTGGTACGAATTTTAACAAATGGGTGGATGTGTAATGGGTAAGTGAGAAAATAAAAAAGGTTCACAAACCAAATTAATATTTTTTATGGTGTTCAGAAAATAAGATAGGATAGCTTTTTAATTATATTATTTAATTTGCTTGAAATGAAGTAACAATCCTAACTTGTGACAGATATTTTACCTATTATTTTATATATATATATATATATATATATATATATCATCATCATCATCATCATTTCAGCCTGTCCGAGTCCACTGCTGAACATAGGCCTCCCCCATAGACTGCCATGAAGTACGATCCTGAGCCACCTGCATCCATCGACTTCCCGCACATTTGCACAGGTCGTCACTCCATCTAGTGGGGGTCGTCCTACACTGCGATGGCCAGTACGAGGCTGCCACTCGAGAACCTTTCTTCCCCAACGGTTATCGGTTCTACGAGCTACATGGCCGGCCCATCGCCACTTCAGCTTGCTAATCCTCTGAGCTATGTCGGTTATCTTAGTTCTACTGCGGATGTCTTCGTTACGAACTCTATCACGCAGAGAAATACCGAGCATAGCCCGCTCCATAGCTCGCTGAGCGACTTTGAGCTTCCTCATACGGCCAGCAGTGAAGGACCATGTCTCGGTTCCGTAGGTCATCACTGGCAACACACATTGATTGAAGACTTTAGTCTTCAAACATTGAGGTATATTCGACGAGAAGATTTGCCGAAGTTTCCCGAACGCTGCCCATCCGAGTTGGATTCGCCGATTGACCTCTGCGTCGAAGTTGGACTTACCTAGCCGGACTAACTGTCCTAGGTAAACGTACTCGTCAACAACTTCGAGCTCTGTGCTCCCAACAATATATATATATATATATATATATATATATATATATATATATATTAGTTGTAAAAACGGTTTATCCAAATGGAATCCAAATGAATATGAAAAAAAAATCCCACGACAAAGAAGAATAACTATTTATTACAATAGGCTTTTAAATGAACGCCTATGATAACTAAATGGCATTTTTTTTTTAAATTGAGTTATACTTATCATATAGTCTAGGCGACAAATAAATATTTCAATATTGGTAGTTAAAGAATCATTGCTAACCGAAAAGCCGGTATCTTTAAAGTGATCAGAACTCGGCAGAACAGAAAGTTAAGCCAGCGGATCTTTCGAGAGAAAGCCTTGGGGTAAATTCCTACTTCGGAATGTCATTTGATATTCACGTTGAAAACTTTAGGAACAGTGCCGCGTGTGTATTGGGGGCAGTTCTCACGATGTAGTTCCTCCCTGATTGTACGGAGTGAAATAATGCACTCCAAATTTTCCATTAAATTATTATAAACAATTCTTTTACAACTTGTTACGATTGTCACTTCAAACTTACCAAAAACTGACAACATAAGACTTTTAAATTGTTTTAGATGTTGCTCCCGCACACCCATAGAAATATTATAAATCAGTGTTGCCTCAGTAAAATATTACTAACCCAATTATTGTGTAAGCTAACAAGCGGTAACGCATGAGTACATTCGCGACGCCACCCAGAGTTGGATGGCACCATTCACCATTTACTCTTTTTAATTTAGCGCCTTTAGTGCCTGTTATAAATGAAGCGTTAAAAACAAGACGTTCTTCACTTTTCATATGTCTGCAATATTGAATAGTATAGATAAAATTATAGAAATTAATTTTAACTTGATGCGATAAAATATGGCCAATATTTGAACGAAATTTAGGAAGGTGAACAGCAATATTTAAGTTACCATAGTTTTATTTCCATTACAATACTGGGGCTTTTAATACAATATACTAAGAGATGACATCATAACTTAAGAGTTTAGTCTACAAAATATTTATTTACTCTTAAGAGCCTAAAATAATTGAATGAGAAATGTAACTGTTCAAAACAATTGCATGTTAATAGCATTCGGCGTTAATTAAAACGGTGGTATCAAAACATATAGTTTGAAAAGTACTTTGCCACTAAAGGGTTTCAGTCTTTGGAATTTTAAAAATAATAAAAGCGATTAAATCTGTAATATAGTTTTCACTAAGCATCAACCACTTGATAAAATAAGGTTGAATTAATCATTCCGTAGAATATCAGACCGTACGGTGCTACTTCTATTTTGGTCCGCTTGGATCACAGTAATAAGTTATTAATTAATTCGTATTTCGCCGTTAATCAAAATATTTTTGCCGGTACAATAATAACTCAATGTTAGTTTGTCCGTATAATGTTTTAGTTAGATCATGAAGTAAAACAGAAGAGAGGGTATTAGTCTCAGACCCAACCCCGTACCACCAGGGGGTAAAGCGGTTAAAAATGCTAAAAAACATTAATTAACCCATTAGGAAATTGACCTATTGGGAAATGGGCAAACTGCGAAATATTATATTATAGAAAATTGTAGTAAATCAAGCGATCATGATGAGTAGGTACCTTTTTCCTGATTTCTTCTTATAGTTTAAGTATTTAATTTTTCGTGAGTGAGTATGGAGCGGCAATTACATGCCTAGGGTGACCAACGGATCAAATCTGTCACTGCTAACTAATATAATTGTTGATTGGTAATCTCAGATTATACATATTCTTTTATACCATTAGCCACATCTACCATTCAAGAATAATATCATTTAAACTAACACACTATAACTTCAACTGGTTCACTTATGGTGTAGTTATTTGAAACAATTTTGGACCACATCATCGAGTATTAGGATATAATTGATTGTACGATTATGTTATGCGATTAAGTCCTAAGCTTATTGAAATGTTTAGCAACAAACTTTGTGAAAGCTATTTGAGGGACTTTATGACCCTTTTGTTCTTAAAATTAACTATCCGTGGAAATGTTTACTCCATAATTGACTACAATTAATCACTTGGCCGTAACGCTGTAAATGGCATTACTTTACGTATATTATAATGCATAATGTTTATTTTCCTTTATATTTTCCATTCAATGGAATCCCATCAACTGAACCATAAATAACAGTTGCAGGATTTGGACACAATTATAAAAATTTTTATGATAGATTTTAACGAAATTTTTGACGTGTATATAGATTTTCGCATGATTAGAAGAAATCTTATTTTGGATGACTTTAAGTCCAGCCTCTTAAATAAAATAAATATTGACTATGAAATATTTATTTTCTTCGTTCAGCAAAAATTTCGTAGGCCTTTCGAAGTCAACCACATTTGTGGTATTAACACACCAATCTGATAACATTGACATGGTACATGAGATTTCAACCACTCAAGTACACGAAATTAAACCTATTACGTCATTATAGCGTTATATCAGACGGTTTTATGTTCAGGACTGCTTTAGATCTTCAGAACAAATCACGTTTCACAAACGGAAATTACTATTAGAGCGAAATTGAATTCACGAACACGGAACATTTTATTTATTGAAAGAATCGTTGAAGATTCGTTGAAGTAGCATTTATTTATTTGTTTGCCGGTGAAAATGATAATTCTTTGTATTTAGAAATGTGATTCATATGTCACGTGATTGAGGTAGAATGGCAATTCTAAACCAAATGTATTCGTAAATAACTTCTGTTTGTTAAAGAATTAGAGAAATTAAAGAAGAAGCTTATTGTCTACGTAGGTGGTACACACGCGTATGTTTCAACAATTATTAAATGAAAATCAATTTAACCCACTTTCATACAGCTTCTTGAAACATCCATGAAAATGTGCACAAAGCTTGTCCCTATCCTTTTAGTTCCCGTATATTCAGCATCCCGAATTCGAATCTCAGTGCCCAATCAAATTGTTAATTGTAATATTAGATGTTGAGTTCGGCGTGCTCAGCGACAACAAACCTGAGAAATATTTAAAAGAAATATTTTGAAGGTATTGTGAAGTTTGCCAGTCGTTTGTCGGCCGCCAATATTGGACTCAAGAATATTGGCTGGACTTAAAATTGTTTAGTGCCTAAAATTAAAATTTAGCAATTTATTTTTAATATACTTTGTGTGAAAATAAAATCTTCTGAATTTCTCTTCACATCTTGACGACTAGTAGAGCATGCTAATCGGCTTTATATCCATCCTTTGTAATCCTATTCAAGGTGTTTGAAAAAAAGGCATAAATAAAAATATATTAAATAAATATTATCTCGTACTAATAGACACATTTAAAATTCCTAGTCTTTACTTATTCGGGATTTTAACTCACAACAAATGCGGTAAAAAGACTGTTAGATTTGATTATTATAGTTCATTATCGAGTACCTACATAAAAGTTAGTTAAAAGTTGTTGCGAAGATGCTTTTAATGGACTTATAGCAGAAGAACCGAAAGGAAAAAATTCTATTTTAAACCAAATAAAATCTCCTGTGTTTTAAGATCGCTGAAATGCCCTTACACCTGATGGTAGATGATTAGCCCCAACCATGGACATTACACCCGAGGGATTGAAGTAGCATGGTCAGTATTTAAAGAGGCGACCCTAATACGTGTCTATGGAAAATTTTCCGCAAAAAAATATTAACGTGTTACGTGGTGAAGGCGTTTAATGTGAGAGCGTAATGAATGTAAAATCCTAACCAACTCAATTCTGTAAA